GGGAGTCACTGTTCACAGTCCGTACACCGCGCCGCCGTCCGCTGGGAATTTCGCCGCCGGTTTCACTGTTCACCAGTGATCGGCCGCCGTTCCCCGACGTCGTGATTTTGGATTAGGTGAGTAAAATTCCTAAACCCGGATTAGGACTGTTAGTGCGTTTTTCTGGACTGATTTAGGTATTATCGGTACAATTTGGACTGGCTTAGATAGTATCAGTGTGTATTTCAGACTGGGTTGAGGACGGATTGGTAGAAATTATCATTTGGAAATTTAGTGGATTAATGAGAATTATTTGGGGAGATTAATTGGATTAAATGATCAATTTAGGAGCCCGTTGGAAAATTACCGGGTATGTCCGGGTTGACTGATTGTACGTCAATGTGCTTAATTGTGATTGATTTCGTACTGCTATGTCATATGTGGTGTGGCTGATTTTATGGAGTGCGATTGGCCATTGTTTGGTTTACAATGATTTACTGATTTGTGAATCGCACGTTAGGCCACACGGTATTAATTGGGCCAATTAAGCACGTGTTGTGACATTGGGTGTCTGAATTATAGTGGTGCTCGTGGTGCATTGCATTGCATAACATGGACACGCATTGCGTATGCCAAGAGTGAGGCATGTGATGAACTTGCGCGAGAATGCGTGTCTGCCATGAGCATGTGATCACCTAAAATACCCTGAAGCGTTATACGCTGGGTTCAGATAATAATGAGTTGTGTGATCACCTAAGGACCTTTGGGTCATGACCTTCGGGTCGATACCGTCCTCATGCACTTTAAAGCAGGACGATGCCCGGTACGTCCGGAAGGCGACCATCCTCATGCACTTTGAAGCAGGCTTTGGTTCGCAAGGAGAACAGTGTTGCGCCTCATGCACTTTGAAGCAGGCTAGAGACACTGGGCCAGATTGGTTGCTGCGCCTCATGCACTTTGAAGCAGGCTAGACACACCGGGCCATGAATGTTGTTGACTCGAGTCGTAATAAATAATAAATTGGGCGATTGCTAGTGTGCCAGTGTGGGCCAGTGGGCCGGGGAAATACACGTGACATGTCGACGACATTTGCATGCATGAACATGCATGGACTGGCATGCGAGTGTGTGAGCCTCGGTGCATGAGCATGTGATTGGCGTACGTGTGATAATATGTGCCACGTACGTGCCGTGATTATTATATATTGAACTGCCTAACCTGCAGGGTCAGATAATTGTTTGACTATTGTGGTATTGTGATTTGAATAATTGTTTTCAGTCAGGAGATTGCATGCTAGCCTAGCCTAGGTTTAGGGGTTGAACTCATTGAGATTCGTCTCACAGCTGTGTAAAACGAAACATTTCAGACCCCCGGCCGTGAGGATAGAGAGGCCACCGCCTCTTTTTGGGATCCCGTTGCAGATCCAGCAATATACCAGTACCTACCCCTCGGAAAACGGGGAGGCTTTTGTGAGATATCGATCCGAAGTGATTGTGAATATAGGCGAGTATTATTATCAGAAGTAGGAGTACGTGGCATGGTGCCACCGGGATGCCGCTGGAAATGAGGGAGAACCCCTCAGGACCTTCGATATCCCGGTCGATAGTGTTGGGTTGATACAACCGATTATAGCGGGTGGTGAGGTGATCAATCCAGAGGCCACGCCCGAATGGATGAGGCAGGAGGAGGAGATGGACGAGGAGCCCGAGGTAATAGCAGAGGACCCTGAACCGATGGAGAAGGATCGGAATGGCGAACCCGAGGCCATGGAGCAGGACGGAGAGGAGGACGGAGAGGTGGCAGAGCTGGGATCGGATGAGGAAGGGATTGAGCTTTACCTTGACCCAGAGTTGGAGCTGGACTCCGAGGACGAGCGAGCTCAAGCTATGGATTCGGAGGAGTCAGGGCCAGTAAGGACGCCTCCGAGGAGTTATCTGATGACCCCACCGAGTCGTTCAATCCTGACTGGGAGCCTTAGGGCCGCCCAGTGTCCTTAGCTAGCAATGAGGGCCGCTACTTTTTGAACTGTTGCCCTCTCCCCTAGTTTAGCCTGACCTCCCTAGCCGCTTATCCCTTTTTGACCAGGTGGCTGCTAATCGTGTGTAGTCTTTGTGTGTTCCTGTAAATGTTGTACAAATGGTTTTTAATAGTAAAACAAATGTGTAATTATTTTCTATTATGGTATTTAATGTATGGCTATCCTCGGCTCATACTGTAATTGTCTGGGTTTGTTGATTTTATACTTCCGCTTGTGCTTGATCTTTGTTGGGTGTGGGTCGGCGGCGCTTCCTGGGACGTCACAGCCAACTTATCGACCTCAGGTGGGATGCTCACGCTTCGTGGGGTACGGGGCGTGACACCGAAAATCAGGCCATCGTACCGCTCATTTCAAATCCAAAAATTCTGAAATTAAAGTATGTAAAACTTCATGATGTTTGGAACAACTTTCAAGAAAAAGTGTTTGGAAATTCGGATCACAAAAGTCTCCCCAAAAATAACAAAATGAAGGGGTACAAAGGATCCGAAATTGGGTTTTTCAAAACAAGAGTAAAAATTTTAGTTCCGATCGGAAAACTACCAACTTAAACCATAGTCATTTCCCTGAGACTGAAATTGAGGATGTTATAGGTAGAGTCATAATCGACAATATACAAGGAATGACCAGAAGATAAATCAATGGGATCGTTATCGAGAGAAGTAGACTGATGGCGGGAGTAGCTGCCAATATCTGATAGGTAAAAGACATGTGACATCTTCAGGGCTTTTAATACAAAAACTAGCATTAGAGTTGACCAGGAGCAGTTCTACCATTAATGAGCAGGAGAGAGACTCTGATAAAAGTACACTGACACTATTTGGGAAAACTACCACTGTCGAAGAGACGTTGCGGATGTCAAAGAGTCTTATTAACGATTCTTAGCGACATTTTGTTGCTAGCAACTGTAGAACCAATGGCTACTTGAGGTTTCAATGAGTAAAGGTCATCAAAGGATGAATGACTATACATCGAGTTCAAGAGAAGTAGTTGAGTTGGGTGGAAATGAACAACATGAGTCATGTGCTTTGAGCGTTCTTCTTTGCTTTGTTTGGTTTGGTAGTTTTTTTTTTTTTTTTTTTTGGTTTGGTTTGGTAGCTGTTGTGTATTACTATTGTCAATGTTTGTGTAGTGCTACTGTTTGTAATTAGTGATAAAAGGAAGTGCACAAGAGTAATAGTAGTACGTGAGTGATATTGTGATCTATTGGAAAGGCAATAATTGCTAATCGCAACTTCTCTTGTTAATAGTGGATTACAGCTTTGTTGTGACTATTAATATTGAGAGTAGATGTAGGCTTGGGAATAAAGTCAAATAGCTATATATTCGCTTGTCATATCTTATAACTCTTCATTATCAGCCTCAGCTATTCATTATCATCAGTATTTATTTATCAGCAGCATGCGCACCTTATTTCTATATTTTGTATATGCTACTGTTTGAAGTTTAACTTGTTATATTCCGCAAAAGTTCTTCATAGTTCCAAAACAACCTATTCAAACCCCGCCCCCTCTCTCTAGGATTTATTGTTCACTCTAACAATTGGTATTTGAGCCTCATTACTTGTTATTTGAAGTTCTAAACTCCAAAGCATAAAGATCTTGTTTTGACAAACCTTACAAGAGGTGATTTTACAATTTTCTGTTTGTTAACTATCCATCCTTTATAGTCAAGATTTCTCGAATTACTTCATTGCTATTGCGACCTTTCTTTTCCAGGGAAAAGATGAAGTTGTAGAGGTAATGCCTAAAGGCATGCCAAGAGCCCTCAATTAGGCGCTAGCTATCCCAAGCCCTTCTCTCATGCAACATTGGATTTCGTTTTAAATTTGAGATTAATCCTAAAGGGATTCTACATGAGACAGTAGTCGCCACTTGCTTTTTCGAGGTTGGCTAGAAAGTAAGCGAGACACGGGAGTTTGTCTCACTTCCTACGCATCCAGAGTTTCTTAAGTTCGGGGACTTGATAGCTAATAGTCTAATTAGCGTCATTTCGGTACCTCTAACTTCGTTTGGTTATTCATCTAAGTGATCAAATAGTCTTTTTAGTTATGAGTCCTAAATGCCATTTGATGTCGCTAAGTGTTCATGCATTGGTTTTTCTATGAGTTTATTATGATCCCAAGGCTTATTCTAACTATACTAAAAAGGAAAGGAACAACCAATGTATTGATAGTGCAAGAATTAAACACCCAAGTATTTAAAAATTCAAAGCAAAAGTGCAGAAATAAAAACCTAATACTTGTTGGGCAAAAAATATATATGGCCATGTTATAAGTCCTACGACATGATCCCCCATTAGCTTGACCCAATACCAATCCGGCAAAGAATATACAAGACTTCGTTATTAAGCCCAAGGACAATAACCCTTGTGAGCTAAATTCCTGAAATCAAGTATGAATCTAACTCTAAACTTGAACGACGAACTCGGCAAGAGTTCACCACCAATCGACATGTAAAGATAAGGCATGCAAATGTGAAATGATTTGATCACATAAAAGAACCAACCGGGGGTCATGGCCACCTATTAACACTATCCCAGGGACACGTTATTTAACTGAAAAGAAGAACAATGCTTGCTGTCCCTGAGTTGGACATCAGCATATGGCCTTGTCTTTGTCCAGAAACGAGACCAAACAATGCTAGAAAAGATGAAAAATCAATAACAGGTCAACGTGTCGTCATGAACAACCAAAGCAACTCCCGAACGACTTCGAAATCCACAAAAGTCACCCTCAACGAATGTTGACCAGCAGCATTACAACACATATTCCATGCATGAGATTGTTATCCATATTAAAGTGACGAGGAACATGATCACCAACTCAAACCGACTCACATCTGAGCATGGACAACACACCACTTAGTCCCACTAAATCAATATAAGACATGTACACGCATGGGTTTGGCGAGGAGTTTGCATGTATCCCACACAGTTCGAAATGACATGCAAGTCGAGTCGAATAACACTCATCAAGACCAAAGACTAATCTGGACAGCAAGTAATCATTGAACACAATCGTCGTCTTTCATCGGTCATAGTCACCAGAACATGAGACAAACGATTGTGCTTGCAAAGATTTTATGTAACAGCCAAATCAAGCCTAAACAAACTTGAGACTCTCCGTTTCTCATGGAATTAAGCAACTCTTTAATCTGGACAGCAATCGCCCACTCTCGGTTTCATGCAGTTATGTGAAGCGAAGTCCTCGAAGCACACGAACCCGTCCCCACTTGTCCACCTCCCCTATCATGCGCCTGCACTCCTCTATCGTCCACCCCTCGTCCCCGAGCACCACGAATGAACGAAAACGTTGGACTTAGCTTATCCATGACTGCAATACGACAAGAAGGAAAAGGACGCATGCTCCAAGTATATGACTCAAAATCAGAAAGTCAATATATTCCCAAGCTTCGATTAATCAAGTTTATACTTACCCAAATGATGAGTAGGTGATAAAGTCCAGAAAGACTGGAGGGTCGTGGAACTCCAGTGAAAGGTGGCAGCTTGTGAGTAAGCTATTCTCAACGGCAATATCTCTGCGGATCAACAAAAGAGGAACGACACGATTCAACTAAACCAGCTACAGAAAACCGAACAAACGAAAATGTTGGACTTAGCTTATTTACCGAAAACTGCCCCATCTTCTCCAATATTTGCTCCTGTGTCTCCGGCATCATCGTGCAAAACAACTCCCAAGTGACACTTGCAATCACCGTGAACAAAAAGGCGGCCCTAAAATGATCGCATTGTACAGCGACACATACATCATCAATAACACTGCTCTCATCACCTGATTAATATCAACATCGATTACGCACTCCAGCGCACGCAACATCTGTGGAAAGATCTTTCAGATGTACACCCATGTGATTGGCCCCATCCTGATGAAGAAGAAGGCCACCTAGGACAACGAGGTGATTCACATGACCCCCGCCAATATGGGTTTCATGTTGCTGTGGGCGATGATGGTGAGACGCATTCCGAGAGAGGTGAGCGACAAGATCATCTCGCCAACGCTATTCAACATCAACGGTTGCCGCCCAATCGTTGCTGCGAGTAGCATTGGTGGGATGATCATGTCACTCGACTCTCTCAGTAGGTGCTTCATTGTCATTGACCACAGCCACACGAAGCTCATGTGGACAGTGACCATGTGCATCTCCCCAGTGTTGTCCTACGTGGTCTTCTTCTCCATTAGAATAGGACCAATCATATGGTGTACAGCTCAGAGATCTTCCCACTGAGGTTGCGGGCACTGGGGTACGCATTCGGCGTTGCCCTGAAACGAGTGGGGAGTAGAGTATTAATGATGACGTTCTTATCGCTATATAAGGCGATCACCATCGGCAGGGCCTTATTCTTGGTCGTGGCTATATGAATTGAGGGATGTTTGCTGATGTGGTTGAGGACAAAAAATAATTACTATTATGAAATTTCAAGGAAAAAAAGCCAACAAAAATTTCTTAGGAAATTCAATTCCAATGAGAACAGGAAGTCTTTGATAGGTGGTAGTGAATTTTCTGTTTCGCCCATTTGAGTCCGGCCCCACTATGTAGTTTAGCCACACTCTTTTTCTTGGCCTTGCGTAAATTTTTTTGTGCCGTGCATGTTGAATACACATTTTTTGGAGGACTTCTAGCTAAGAATTAGGCAGAGCTTTTCATCTAGAATTTTGATTTACTCGTGATTAGAGAATTCGTTGGTTTTCCACGTGGGAAGGACTTTTGGGAAGTAGGACAACATTCAACTCTGGAGAGACGAATTGAGGAGGTTCGCAAATATGACCTATTATCAAAATCCAAGACATGGATGAAGTGTTCGAATTTGCAAAAGTCCATTATGAGGATTTAGATAGGGAGTAATTTTGTGTGGATTATTGGTTCACGAATATTTTGCCATATTTGTGGATCATTTAATGGAAATTTGGAAGGTAGAGAGATTTCTCAACGTGCATTCTTCTTGTTTCAGGAAAAATTAACATTACAAATGCGATCTCTTCTTTATGCATCAGTTGCAACCTTCTCGAAGTGGGTCTGCCAACCAGGGAGATAGGTTTATAGGTCATGTCGAGTTGAGGACCAACAGTCCTCAATCGGCACCAATTCTCCCAAACCCTTAGCTCGATGTTGGAATTTCATTTTAGTTGATTAATCCTATAAGAATTCTATATGATAAGGAGTCACCGCTAACCTATTAAATTTGGCTAGAAATCAAATGAGATATGGGAGAATACCTCCCTTCCTACGCAACCAGAGTTCTAGATTGGAGGACTTAATTACACTAGTTATTCAACTGATACCCTTTCATCACCTAACTTGGTTCATTGTTAACTAAGTGTCCCATGTGGTCTTTGTCCAATTATTAGTTCTAATGTTTTCGTCTGCTAAGTGTACATGTAATCTTTTTTATGTTTATTATGGGCCTAGAATGTAACTTAACCATTCAATTAAAACAATGAATCACAACACAAAAAATGATATAAGAGCAATCACAACAAACGCATCAAGAATAGTGATGAAGAACAAATAAAAGGTAAGGTACGGTAAAATAACCCAATGCAATGTCGGGTAAAGAACATCACAAGGCCTCATCTTAAGTGACAGGAGAGCAACCCTATGAGCTAAAATCAAATAAAATCCAAAGTGTAATTCTAATTCTAATATCTAAAACGAATCTATTGTTAATGAAACCTACAAAAGAGGAAAAACATGTATACGAACTAATCCTTAGATGCAAATCTAAAATTAATGCAATGAGATTTTGATCTTTTCAATTTTATACAAGTTTGACATTTTCTATATTTTTTTTCTTTTCATTTGTTTCATCTGAAAAAAAAGACTATCTAAAGTTTGGATTCATTTCCAAAATTCAAAGAAAATATCTCCCTAAACAAATCAGCCCAAACTAAATTGAAATTCAACTAACGCTACAACCTAAGATGCAACCACCTAACTGAGGCTTGCACAGTTGCACTTATTTCTCCTTTTTTATGTATTTTTAATTTTTATCAGTTTTTTTAATTATTTTATGATTTTTTTATTCCCTTTAATTTCTTTTTCCCCTTATTATTCTTCTTATACGCCCAAACACGTAGCACAGCTAAACTTTCTCTTCCTCTATAAATATATTTTTTTAGTTTTTTATTGCTTTCTTTCTTTTATTTTCTTTCTTTCGATCTCTTTCTCAGTCCATCACCTTAAGAACATGAACTCATTCTTCGCTTGGTTTCCCTTTGCCTCTTTCATTTATTATTTCTTTCCAACGTCCGACAGAGAAATGATCAACTCTTTGCTTTGTTCATCATTCACCTAAGCTCTGTTCACCATTTTTCTAGCTTCAAAAACTTAACATCATAAAAAATCTTCATCAACCAGGGAACTGATTGATGCCACAATCCATATTCTAATCATCACATATGCAATGAAATTTTGTTCAAATCACAAACAGGAACTCAATGGCAGACGATCTTCAAGAAACCAGTAGTTAAGATTTCTCGTCTTTATTTCTCCAAGAACAGAGTATAGAGGTACTTACCTTGTAGATTCAGATGTTGATTTCAAAAGATGATCAAACTAAGAAGCTGAGTGAACACGTTCAAATCACAAATAGGAACATACGATGCAGATGTTCACACGTATAAACAGCTAACTGCATCAACGGCTTGATATCTGAACAGCATGTAATGATCGCAGACGTCCTTACTAGCTGACCGATATAAGATGCTTTGACCTCTCTAATAGTTAATGGCCGTCCTTTCGAAGATGCTCTAATATAAACTTCACTGAACAAAAAAATTCAAGAGGAAGTCACAACTACTGAAGAAACAAACAAACAAAAAATATGGCACGCAATGCTTAGGTGCTGGGCAACAAGCAGAAAGCCAAAGCATTGCACAACATACTAGGGAAAGGAGAAAATTTTTCTCACTGCATGCTGAATTCTGCAATTTTGTCGATGAATATTGGTGCAAGAGAATCAAATTTCCTTGGGGAACCTCAAATTTCAGCTATGAATGCATTGTTATAACTGGACTAGTAGTCAATAGTAAACAAATTAGATGTTTAAAAGTATCAAAGGACAAGACCTCTAATGAAGCTTACAAGTATAGTTTGATTTCAGAAGGTATCTTCTGAAGTGGATCCACACCGTCCACATTTTCTCTCTTATCTTTAGACCTCTGGGTTAAAAGTATGTCATGATCATCATCCGGAAAGGGCTCCGTGGGTTCTGGCATGAGCTCATCGATGGCCCCAGCAAAAATTCCAATATATCGCCAAGTATTTTCAGTGACCCGTCTAAGAAATTCTTCATCTAAGTCCTTGTACTGCACCCATGTTACCACAGCGTCAGAAGTAATTACAGAACATAAGAAACCATAGCATGTGAGGTGCAGAAACTTACATCGACTGATTCCTCGAGCTCGATCTCAACAGCACGAATTTTTCTATTTGATACTTCTTGCTGAAATCGGGAAAGGCGGCCCTTGTGTGAGTCATTTAAATTGGAAATAAAAAATTAACTACGCTTGATTCAATTGTAAATATAGGGTTTATCCATTTTTAAGTACAAGAACATAATTGCACACGAACGAGATTCCGCAGCTTTAGTTCATAAACATCAGATAAAGGATCAGCGTGATGTGAGATCAAGCACATATCGTTTTCATTGATTTCACCAAACACGAATGATTTACATCTTACAACGCTTAGAAGGACATCCGTATATAAATAATAGTTAAGAGAAGAAACTTACGAGGACGTTCGTGTACTTGGCTTTTCCATTTGCATTGGCAAAGTTCGAAAGGAAATCCTTGGCGATTGCTATCAGCGTCACAACGTCAAACTCGATCCTGGTTTCACGAAACGCCACCGATTGATTCGACGAACACGCACAAAAACATAGCGAGAGAGAGAGATTAACTTTATCTGCCTTGACGTCGAGGTCTTCCTCAGCCTCTCCCTCAGACTCAGCATAAACATGTCTTGGAGGCGTCGGCGTCAGCAAAGAAGAAACGAGCAGGAGCCGAGTTCTTCAAAGTCTCTGATAAGAAAATACGGTAAGACAGTGGTGCAATCAGTGAGGCTCCGGAGTGGCACGGACCATGTGCAAGACGTGGCCGCACACCAAGGCAGGTAAGGACGTGGTGCTCCTCGCTGGACCCGCTGCTGCACATGAAGGTGGGGGTCATCAGGATCAGCTTGGCTGATGCTTCGCTACAGGGACACCAGAAGGGAGCAACGTCAGCCAAAAGACCGCAAGAGATGCCCCGAAAGCTTCTGAGTTCGTTGGACGGTGGCTGGAACTCGCGGTGGCGGGGTTCGCTGAACACGGTGTGAGCGTTGGCGGAGCACGATGGCCGGCACCGGCAGCGGGACTGATCATGTGAGTTGAACACAAGGAGAAAAAGGGATAAAGCTGCAGGATCGTTCCCCCCTTGCAACGAAGTGATGATGACCTTGTTTTTAGCCACCTTCTTTCTCCTATACCTGCACAATCTTCATCCGTTCCTTGTTTTTAGCCACCTTCTTTCTCCAATACCTGAACGATCGTCATCCGTTCCTTGTTTTTAGCCACCTTCTTTCTTCTTTCAAAAACCAAATCCCTATCCCTCTCAGATTTTTCAATCTCCAGATATCCACCAAATTTCCGCCGTTTTCTGAGGGTTTGAGCGAGTCATGAGGTGTTACAAAAGCCATCTTCATCCATCGTAACTGTCTCTAGATTCATAGTGAATTTGTCACGTTTTCCTAAACAAGAAAAATCCAAGAATGCAGAATGGTGAGAGAGTTCGATCCAGATATGAATGAATCAAACAAAAGATCTCAAAGCAAGACTAATTATTGGTTTATAAGTCATAAAATCACTATGACCGAGGTTAAGACGAGTCACGAATGGCATCGTCATTTAATCGTGAGGAACAGTGTCATTTCGTCTTGGATGTGTTTATTATACACTTCCACCCACTATTTGCCACATTGAAAGCCATATCGGTATGTATTCGTTTCAAAAAAAAAAAAGCTATATTGGTATGCATGTTTAGTGTACCTCCACCATGATTTATAAAGTCAATTTAGCTACTTAATCTAAATGAGACTTGGTTTTATTATATACATTAAATTGATCTTACGCATAAGTCTTTAGCAATCATAACTGACCGCCTACAAGAATCCAAATAATCTGAAGTTATAACAAAATTGAAGTTGAAAAAAAGTTAATAATGTTAAACTCTTCTATTCCGAATCTCTTTTCGACTAGAATTTAAGTTAATACTTTCATAGACCTTCTGTATGTCCAACAGACAATTTATTGTTTGTATTTTCCGTTCTCAGTCAACAAATAATTCCAAATAACATACGTCTAATATAAAACTACTGGCACTAATATAAAGAGAATAAACGCGTGAAAATGGATTCTGCCTACTTATCTATTTTATTAGGGCTGCACTTTTTATACTCCCTTCTTGGCTAAAACACTCCTCAATACAGTAATTTGATTATATTGCCCTTTAAGGTCCCGCTTTTTAGCATCCCTCTTCTGTCAATGTTCTATAAAAGTGTTCCATCTTTTTCTGGTCGTGTCCCCTTTTTTAAATTTTCTATTTCTGTTCTTGTGAGTCCCACGTTCTCTCATGTAACCACTCAAAGCAATAGAGAGACAGAGAAATTGAGACTTTCATGCTTATGTAGGCGGAGGCGGCTGAGATGGTTCTCATGACCCAAGACAGCACCTTCTCGAGCCACTGAGTGAAGGCTCTGCGCCACATTTATTATGGCAAAAAGGGGATCGTGTTCACGAAGAGTGGCGCATACTAGCAGGGCATGAGGAGGATGTACACTCTACATCACATGAGCCCAACGAAGGTGGAGTTGCTCGCGTTGTGAGGAGGAGGAGCTAGTAAGGGTGATGGGGAGCTGAGGGCGGCAGCCTTGAGGCATACTTTCCACAATATAAAACACTTAATAAAAAAAAACCCTTCTTTGCATAAAGAATCGATGAGATTGGCAGAAGCAACGTTGCTCACAAGCAAGTCCTCTTGGCATTTCATTACCTCCCAGAGCCTGAGAATCAATTTTTTTGCCTTCTCCCAATCTATCTATCGAAAAAATCCACTGACCAATGTGCTATATATCCAACAATTGAGCCTTATATCATCTTCAACCATTTCATCAAGTAACTTTTGTGCAGCCCTCACCGTGCCCGCCTTACATTACCCATTGATCAAAGTAGTGTAAGAAATGCAGCTCGGGCAATGCCCCTTGCTCCTCATATCTAGAAACACCCTATGCCCAAAAGCTAGTCTCGAAATATAGCACAACTGATCAATTAGCTAGTTAAAATTAGTCAATGAACACATGTACCCGAGCTTGACATCAGCCAAACACCTAATGACCCGCAACATGCAATGTGGGCTGCGAGAATCAAGCAATCTGGCAACGATCATGTTCATCCGTGACGACATAAAAAGACCAAACAAAGGAGACGAACCGACGATGGGCCTCCTTGAACCATTTCGCATCGCAAAGAGTGTGAAGAACGTTACTGAGGTTGAGTGAGTTAGATTGGTAGCTGTTGAGACGGAGGCGGTCAAGGAGGCAGAGGGCTTCGTCGATGTCTCGATGGTGGGTCCCTGACTAGGATATGCGAGCACAAGGGCATGACCTTTCTTATTCTTCATTTCTCTACCTCTTGAGAGAAAACGGAGAGAAGGAAGAATTAAAGAAAGAGAACATGAGACCCACAAGAAAAAAAAGTTGAAAATCAATAAATAAAATAAAAAAGGGACACGGCTAGAAAAGGGGGACACTTTCTTAAAACAGTGGCCGAGGGATGCTAAAAAATTGAGATACACAAAGGGCAATATTGTCATAATACTGTATTGAGAAGTATTTTAGCCAAAAGGAAGCGAAAAAGAGTTAATCGTGGGCATCAGATTTTAGCGATTATATGACCAACGGCCTACTAGATCTTTTGTTCAACAAAAGTTAGACTATGTGGGCTGAGGCCAACTCAAATGTTTTGCTAGCCCATTAAATTAAAAACATTTTAAAAATAGAAAAATGAGATAGAATTTGGAAAATGGGATTAATTTAGAACAAGGAAAAAATCGATCATTAAAGCAGATGGAAAACATTTGAACGAAACACAAAAGGCTTGCTTTATGCGGTGTAACATGTATATATTATATATGAATTTTATTTACATATGTAGTTAGTTTAAATCATAATGACGATGCTTGTATATATCATCATCTCGAGAGCGCTAGTATAAAGAAAAAATTATATTGATAATATTTTTCATGTACATAGATTCATTGTTCTTTACCCAATATATATGAATTGGGCGGTTGCCAAGTAGAAGGTTCGAAAATGCTATGTTAAAGAAAAAAAACATGTAAATTATATATGTCCTTTCAGTCGATGTTAAGAGCAATCATGTGCAAGTCTCCAGCCAAATCCATATGGCTCTATCACTATAGTACATTTACTATCTGTCCCACGACTAACCTATGTGTATATCACATAATCAATAATTTTCGAGACCCCCAAATAGATATTCCAAAACATACACTAACATTACAAGACCTAAAGTGGAAACAAATTAAGGCTTCTTCGTGTTGTCTCCACATCATCTAAGCCATTGACACAGAAATATATTCAATTACATGCATCAACGATTAAGAAGTGGTTGACATTGGGACATCAATGAGAGTATCGTATGAAGTAGAGTATATTCCTCGCGTACCCCCTGCGAATCAACAAAAGAGGAACGACATGATTCAACTAAACCAGCTACAGAAAACTGAATGAACGAAAATGTTGGACTTAGCTTATTCGTGATTTTTTGCTTATTTTCCTCGCCGATGATCGCCACAAGCAAGACAACAGGGCATCACCGAAAGTACCGCACGTAAAAACGTAAGGAAATAAACTGGAATCAGATATACTTAACAAATCAACTGATAACAAGCGATTTATGCCATGACGCTTTCAGATCTGAGGATATCAGTGTCTATTTCTCAGCCGTGCCTGTAAGGCATTTTATCAAAGCTGCTACAAGCGCTCGAACCTACAGTTGAAGCTTTCACGAACGTCTTTGACCGTAATCGGGACTAGGGAAGGGCTCTTCGAGTGAAACCCAGCCACTTTGCAGCTTTCGATCGCGAAAGAGAGTACTACTTTCGGTGCTCCTTCAAAGATGAATCCGACAAATGGCGACGGACAGCGACTAATAGCGTCAGCGGCTACTGGAATTAGGGTCTACAAGTAATCTTCAACCGAGATCTAAGCATTTGAAAAACTTTTGGTCACAGAATAAAGGAAGACGGAGCTTGGCAAACCGCAACTATGGACGCGAATGAGAACGACATTGACTGCCATTTCGTAGCGATTAATATCGATGAAGATGGCTGAAGACCGAGATTTTATTTCATCTGGTTTTTCTCTCGTGTCCCTTGAACTCGCTGCGGGAGGATCACTTTGTACAACAACACGTACATAATCGATAACACTGCACTCACCACCTGGTTCACAACGTCGATTGCGCACTCCAGCACACGCAGCCTCTGCGGAAGGATCTTTGAGCTATACACCCATATGATCGGCCCCATCACGATGGAGAAGTATGTCATGTAAGACAACGTGGTGATGCACATGGCCACCGCCCATATGAGTTTGATGTTGCTGTGGTCGGATGGTTAGCCACGTTCCGAAGGAGGCGAGCGAGAAGATCATCTCGCCAACACTATTCAGCAACAACGGTTGCCGCCCGATCGTTGCTGCAAGTAGTATCGGTGGTATGATATTCGCACTCGGCTCTCTCAAAACGTGCCTCACCATCATCGACCACAGCCACACGAAGCTCACGTGGGCGGTGACCATGTACATTGCCTCGGTGTTGTCCACATGGCCTTCTTCTCCATTGGGATGGGGCCGGTCATATCGGTGTACAGCTCAGAGATCTTCCCGCCGAGGCTGCGTGCACTGGGGTACGCAATCAGCGTCGCCTTTTAATTGAGTGGTGAGTGGAGTATTAACAATGATGTTCTTATCGTTGCATAAGGCGATCACCATCGATAGGGCCTTATTCTTGTTCGCGGGGATCACGAGCATCCCGTTAAGCGTCCTTTTACACGATGATGCTAGAAGGGGTCAAACACCGGATGAGATGGTGCAGTTTTCCGGTAAACACACAAAGTGGAGGCTTACAACGAGGGTGATAGAGATGCAAAAACAAAAAAGAAAAACAACAACGGGGTCGGTGGTGACGCGATGGAGGCAACAGCGAGGGACAGATTGGGAAATGATTATAAGGTAGGGGGATATATGGTAAAAATGGATGCCTTTGTTGAAGTATTAGAGTAATTGTACAGGATATGAATTGGGTGATGTTTGCTGATGTGGATGAGGACAAAACGAATTACTATGATGAATTTCAAAGAAAAAAAGCCGACAAAAATTTCTTAGGAAATTCAATTCCCATGAGAATAAGAAGTCTTTGATAAGTGGTTGGGACTTTTTGGTTAGCACGGCTCCACTATGTACTTCTGCCACACTCTTTTCCTCGGCCTTGCTGAAATTTACTTGTGTCGTGCATGTGCCATATGCATGTCGTGCATTGACGTGCACGCTGTTCACGTGCAGTGCATGCGTCGTGCACGTTGAATACACATTTTCTAGAGGACTTCTAGCTAAGAATTAAGGAGAGTTTTCCATCTAGAATTTTGATGTACTCATAATTAGAGAATTCATTGGTTTTCCACTGTTTCTTGATAAAGTGGGAAGGTCTTTTGGGAAGAAGGACCACATTCACCTCTTGAGAGACGAATCGAGGAGTTTGCAAAGATCACCCATTATCAAAATCCAAGACATGGATGAAGTCCTCGAATTTCCAAAAGTCTATTATGAGAATTTAGATGGGGAGTAATTTTTGTGCTTTTTGTGTGGAGTATTGTTTCACGAAAGGTTTGACATATCTGTGGATCATTTGATGGAAATTTGGAAGACGGAGGGATTTCTCAACATGCATTCTTCTTGTTACGAGAGAAATTAACGTTACAAAGGTGATCGTTTTTTATACATCAATAGTGACCCTCTCGAAGTGGTCTGCCGTCCGGGGAGACACTTTTATAGGTTATGTTGAGTTGAAGACCAACGGCCCTCAATCAGCACGCATTCTCCCAAACCCTTAGCTCGATGTTGGAATTTCATTTTAATTGATTAATCTTATGAGAATTCTATATGATAATGAGTCACCACTTGCCTATTGAGGTTAGCTAAAAATCAAATGAGATATGCCTATGCAACCAGAGTTCTAGATTGAAGGACTTGATTACAGTAGTTATTCAACTCATACCCTTTTCACTATCTAACTTGATTGATTGTTAATTGTCTCATGTGTTCTTTGTCCAATTATGTGTTCTAAAGTTTTTGTCCGCTAAGTGTCCATGCAATTTTTTTGTGTTTATTATGGTCCTAGGATTGAACCTAACCATTCAACTAAGAAAATGAATCACCAACACAAAAAATGATATAAAAGCAATTACAACAAACACATCAAGAATAGTAATGACGAACAAATAAAAGGTAAGATACGGTAAAATAACCCGATGTGGTGTTGGGAAAATAACATCACAAGGCCTCATCTTAAGTGCCTGGAGAGCAACCCTGTGAGCTAAAATCAAATAGAATCCAAAGTGTAATTCTAATTCTAATCTCTAAAAAAGAATCTATTGTTAATGAAATCTAAAGAGGAAAAACATTTATATGAACTAATCCTTAAATGAAAATATAATATTAATGCAATGAGATTTTGATCTTTTCAATTTTATGTAATTTTGACATTAATTTTCTACATTTTTTCTTTTCATTTATTTCATATGAAAAAAAAGGACTATCTAAAGTTTGGAATTATTTCAAAAAATTCAAAGAAAATATCTCCCTAAACAAATGAGCCCGAACTAAAATGAAATTCAACTAACACTACAGCCTAAGATGCAACCACCTAACTGAGGCTTGCACTTATTTCTCCTTCTTCATGTATTTTTAATTTTTATCAGTTTTTTATTATTTTCTGATTTTTTTCATTCCCTTTAATTTATTTTCCCCCTCTTTATTCTTCATTTACGCCCAAACACATGCTTGACAGCTAAACTTTCTCTTCCTCTATTCTTATTTCTTATTTATTAATATTTCTTTCCTTCGGTCTCTTTCTCGGTCCATCACTTTCTGAAAATGAACTCATACTTCGCTTGGTTTCCCTTTGCCTCTTTCATTTATTCTTTCTTTCCAACGTCCTACAGAGACACGACCAACTCTTTGCTTTGTTCATCATTCACCTAGCTCTTTGCTTTGTTCATCATTCACCTAGCACTGTTCATCGTTTTTCTAGCTTCAAAAACTTAACATCATAAAAGATCTTCATCAACCAGGGAACTCATTAAAGCCATAATCCATATTGTAATCATCACATATGCAATGAAACATGTTCAAATCACAAACATGAACTCAATGGCACACGATCTTCAGGAACCAGTAGTTAAGATTTCTCGTCTTTGTTTCTCCAAGGACAGAGTATAGAGGTACTTACCTTGTAGATGCAGATGTTGATTTTCAAAGGATGATCAAACTAAGAAGCTGAGTGAACACGTTCAAATCACAAATAGGAACATACGATGCAGATGTTCACACGTATAAACAGCTACTTGCATCAACGGCTTGACATCTGAACAGCCTGTAATGATCACAGATGTCTTTGCTAGCTGAGCGGTATGAGATGCTTTGACCTCTCTTATAGTTAATGGCCGTCCTTTCGAAGATGCTCTAACATAAACTTCACTGAACAAAAAAATTCAAGAGGAAGTCACAACTACTGAAGAAACAAACAAACAAACATGATGTTTTGCTCGGAAACTGACAATATGGCACGCAATGATCAGGTACTGGCCAACTAGCAGAAAGCCAAAGCATTGCACAACATACTAGAGAAAGAGGAAAAAACTTTTCTCATTGCATAAATTGTAAAAATCTCGTCATCAATCAGATTGTCAGCAGCCTGAATTCTGCGGTTTTGTTGATGAATACTGGTGCAAGAAAATCAAATTTCTTTGGGGAACCCTCAAATTTCAGCTATGAATGCATTGTTATAACTGGACTAGTAGTCAATAGTAAATAATTTTGATGTTTAAAGTATGAAAGGACAAGGCCGCTAATGAAGCTTACAGGTATCATTTGTTTTCAGAATGCATCTTCTGTAGTGGATCCACCCCGTCCACATTATCTCTCCTATCTTCAGACCTCTGGGTTAAAAGTATGTCGTGATCATCATCTGGAAAGGGCTCCATGGGTTCTGGCATGAGCTCATCGATGGCCTCGGGGAAAATTCCAATATATCGTCGAGTATTTTAAGTGACCCGTCTAAGAAATTCTTCATCTAAGTCCTTGTACTGCACACATAGGACCACAGCGTCAGAAGTAATTACAGAGCATAAGAAAACTTAGCATGTATGACAGCACTGAGTGAGGTGGAGAAACTTACATCGACTTAAGTCCTCGAGCTCAATCTCATCAGCATGAATTTTTCTATTTGCTACTTCTTGCTGAAATCGGGAAAGGCGATCCTCGTGTGAGTCATTTAAATTGGATATAAAAAATTAACTACGCTTGATTCAAGTACTAGAACATAATTGCACACGAAAGAGATTCCGCAGCTATAGTTCACAGACATTAGATAAAGGATCGGCTTGATGTGAGATCAAGCACATATCGTTTTCATTGATTCCACCAAACACGAATGATTTCCATCTTACAACGCTTAGAAGGACATCCGACTATAAATACTAGTCAAGAGGAGGAACTTACGAGGACGTTCGTGTACTTGGCTTCTCCATTTGCATCGGCAAAGTTCGAGAGGAAATCCTTCGCGATCCCTGTCAGCGTCACAAAGTCAAACTCGATCCTGGTTTCACGAAACGCCACTGATTAATTCCACTAACACACACACAAAAACATAGCGAGAGAGATGAGAAAGAGGAACCTTTACCTGCCTTGAAGTCGAGGTCCTTCATGGCTTCACTTCACCGAGGCTCAGCCTCTCCCTTAGACTCAGCATAAACATGTCTTGGAGGCGCAATCAGGGAGGCTCTGGAGCGACACGGAGCGGGCGCAAGATGTGACCGCACACCGAGGCAGGAAAGGACGCGGTGCTCCTCGCTGGACCTGCTGCGCGTGAAGGTGGGGGGCTCGTCAGGATCAGCTTGGGTGATGCTTCGCTACATGGACACCAGGAGGGACTAACGTCGGCAAAAGACCGCAGGAGATGCCGGGACAGCTTCGGAGTTCGTCGGACGGTCGCTAGAACTCGCTTGCTGAACACGGTGTGAGCGTCGGTGGAGAGCGATGGCTGGCTGCGGCAGCGGGACTGATCATGAGAGTTGAACACAAGGAGAACAAGGGATAAAGCTGAAGGATCGTGCCCCCCTTGCCATGAAGTGACGATGACCTTGTTTTTAGCCAACTTCTTTCTCCAATACCTGCACGATCTTCATCCGTTCCTTGTTTTTAGCCACCTTCTTTCTTAGATTTTTCAATCCCTATCACCATCAGATTTTTCAATCTCCAGATATCCACAAAATTTCCGCCGTTTTATGAGGGTTTGAGCGAGTCATGAGGTCAAGAGATAAGAGATTCGGTTAGAGAACAGAAGGAGAGATAAATTGAAGAATTACGAGCAAATTTGCAAGAATCATTTCGTGGTAATTTCATATGAAAACACACATATGGCTATTTTATTTCCCTTGTCCGGCTTAAATTGATGACGTTGATTCGGTTCTGTTATATCCATCAAATTGATAACTTGATCTCGCGCATAAGATTTTAGCTATCATAACTGACCGCCCGCAAGAATCCACGTTAGCTGAAGTTAAAACAAATTTGAAGTTGAAAAGAAGCGATTAGTGTTTAAATTCTTGTGTTCCGGATCTTTCCAACTAGATTTTAAGTTAGTACTTTCATTCACCTTTCGTATGTCCAATAGACGATTTCCTTTTTGTAGTTTCCGCTCTTAATCGACAAAGAATTCCAAATAGCATACATCTAATGTAAAACTACTGGCACTAATATAAAAAAACAAAAAGAGAATAAATGCGTACAAAAATATATCTAATGTCATGTAACTAGTTAATATATAAAGCCGTTTTCATATAATTTTTCACAGCTTCTTAACCAATTAATGTTCGCATTAGGTACAGCGTGTTAATAGGAAAATGAAAGAGACAGAGAAAGAAAGATGAGCAAAGGTTTTAAGTGGTTCGGTCAGCCAAGAAAAAATTCCTTGGAAGCCTACAACCATGGTAATAATCCCCATATTTCTTAGCTTCTTGGGGGAGATTCGTTCTCCTTAAGTAAAGAAGAGTACATCATGGTTGCTAAACACAGCCTATGATTTTTATGGTAAGTAGAACTATTACACATTGGACCTTGGATCTTAATCTTATCATGATTTGGCAAGTTTATCTCGCCAACATTAGGCTTAACTCTGTTTTTAATTAATAAGTTGATCGGGCGCATCATATTTTAGCGATTATATAACCGGACGGCCAACTAGATCTTTTGTTCGATAAAATTATACTATGTGGGCTGAGGCGAAGTCAAATGTTCTGCTAGCCCATTAAATTAAAAACATCTCAAAAATGAAAAAATAAGATAGAATTTGGAAAAATGGGATTCATTTGGAACAAGTAAAAAACCGACCACTAAATCAGAGGGAAAACAATTGATTCGTATGATGAAACCGAAAACGATATACAAAGGCTTGCTTTTTGTGGTGTAACATGTATATATTATATTTGGCTTTTATTTACATACGTTGTTACTTGAAATTATAAAGAAAATTGGTTTGTATATCATCATCTCAAGAACGCTTGTACAAAAAAAAAATTATATAGATAATATTTCTCATACAAATAGATCCGATATTCTTTACCCGGTATATATGAATGGGCCGGTTGCCAAATTGAAGGTTCGAATATGCTATGTTAAAGAAAAAAAGATGTAAATTATACATGTCCTTTTTGTCGATGTTGAGAGCAATCATATGCAACTCACAACCAAATCCATATGGCTCTATCACATATTGGTATAGTACATTTACTATCTGTCCCACGACTAACCTATGTGTATATCACATAATCAATCATTTTCGAGACCCCCAAATAGATATTCCAAAACTTACACTAACATTACAAGACATATAGTGGAAACAAATGCTTCTACGTGTTGTCTCCACATCATCTAAGCCATTGACACATAATATATTCAATTACATGCATCAACGATTATGAAGTAGAGTATATTCATCCACTTATAAGCACTCCAGAAGTAGAGACATTCAATATGGCCGTTGGCCGACGTAGTTCCCCACCGGGTCATAGTTGCAAGTCATGAACACGTCCCCGTCGTCGCAGACCACGCGGGCACACCCGATCCGCCTCGTCGTCTTCCAGACGATCTGCGTGTAGTGGCCGCACACTTGGCCTTCATCGCATGTGTTGGTCGCGTACGTGTAATACTTCTCCTCCGCGGCCCAGATGCCCACTGCGTCGCTCGGCGTCCATGACGACCCGCTCCCCCAGAATATGTTCTCTCCTAGCTTGAACCCGTCTTCCGGGAAGGAATGCTCCACTTTGCAGTCCGACTGCCTCTGGCCGGCCCACCACCTCGCGTACCTTTCTTACTAGCAAGTCACATTAGTCGTAGGAATCCATGGGAAATATATCAGAGTAGCTTGAACTACATCTAAATGAGATTTTCCTTATTTTTTTCCTATTTGAGATTCTAATCTTTTCTCTGAAGTTTCTACCAATTTGAGCGTGTATGAATTTGACGTAATTGGCTTAGTGTTTAAGAAATGGACATGTACGTGCGTAGACTATGTACACCGCACAAATTTAGTTGCCCACGTCACCAAGTGCAAACAATTTCCGATTTAGACTAGCCATCCTATTTTTTGCTCATGTTCCATGTAGTCCATAAAGTTAATAGTACATGTGCCGGTGATAATGTAATGCTCCCTCGTCAATCAAAACAAATTATGTATATATGTATGTAAAAGTTCCCGGCAAGGTATACCAAAATCGGTTTAAAAAATTGAATTATCAAGCGACGCAACAAACTGTAAATGTCTCTTTGAGGTAAGTGAGCAATATCGAATTTGGGGTGAGATATAGGAAATCCACATAAGATTTATAAAGTATAGCATATATTCGGTTAAAAATTACACCAAGAATCAAGTGCCTAAGGAATGAATAGAACGAGATCAGAAAATGTAATATCCTTGCCAAAGGCTAAGGAATGAACAGAACAAGTGGCCAGGCTTTAGATAGGGGCAAAGTATTCAAGTTATCGCCATTTGAAGCCGATCTTTACTTATGCATAACTTCACGTTCACGATCCTGAATCTAATGTGAGATGGGAGACGCCACAGCCTTTATAGATTCAACAGAATTGAGTGAAATCAAAGTTAACGTACCGCTCGAGTTCGAAGTCCCACATCAATGGGAGCTCCCACTTGGAGGCTCGCACGAGGTTGTGAGTGAACAAGAACTGGAGGGACTCGCCGATGCAGTTCCAACAGAGTTGCTGGGAGACCCTGTATATCGTCTCGTTGTCTGGCTTTGAAGAGAGCAGCTTGGCTTGGAGCTGTGGAGAGAGATAGGGAGTGGCCGAGACAACAGAGATTCTGCTGATGTTGCTGTGCGTGAGGAGTACAAGGAATAGAAAGAGGGAGTGGTGATTGCCCATGGTTTGTTCTTTGGGATGGGTACGAGTGTGGGTGTTGCAGAGCTCCACAATAATGGCTTTATATGGATCCTAAGAAGGGGTCTTGGGAGCATAATTCCAAATCAATTATTTCTCAATAATTTCCAAAGCCATTGTTGCAAATTTTCCACAATAATGATACTTATCTTTGGGATGGAGTGGTTTTGTATCTTGTACTATGAGAAAACTCATTTAAGATATGTAAACCGCTGACTAGTGACATATTTCACTAACCCCACAAATGAGATAAGATGAGCAAGCAGGCCCAAACCTCCAAACCTTAATGGGGGGCTCGAATGTGGGATTGTTCGCATTGGATGTCGAGGGAAGTGAACATGTACCATATTCCGCACATGGAATGTCTATTCTATGAAGGCCAACCCGTGTTCTTAAGGAGTGTTTTGATTTCTAAGGTATAACTCCAATGGTTGCACCGTTTCTAATCGATCGTCGTGAAACTGCGTCACCCAGTTTGAAAAAATTTGTAACACTAAATAGCACGTGTTTTTAAGGGTTTACGCGACAACATGTCACAACATAGCAACGATAGAATAAAACTGAAACTCCGCCCACAAGGTCCTTCCTATAGATTGATAATCATACACAAATGTGTGCGACATCTATTCCTTTGTGATATTGCGAGGTTTTATATTATTTCTTAAGCAGTCTCGTGATCATGATTCGGAATGAAGTCATTTTCTGAACGGTCGATATGTGTCGACCACGAGATGGAACGTGGACGTAAAATCTTTTACAATGCAAAAGAAGGTCCTATGATTGATTGGTGACCTCAAAATATTATTTCATCGCCAAAGGATTTGGTTCCCCTGACTGAATGGAGAGTGGAATCTGCAGCAGTTGAATGGTGGGAAGTTGGATGAATCTGGGCCAAGTAAATTGGCAAGTCCCAAGCACGCGCTTCGGGCGTTTCTCCGGCATGAAATTAGAGACATAAAGTAAAGACATGATTTAAGGGCCTTCTCGTGAAATCAGAGCAGGGTGGCTTCTGTTGTTGAGCACCCGTGAACTCTTGTCTTGTTCGCATTATACGACAAGATCGTCCCCCGTAGGCCATTCTAGAACTCCACAAATGTTCACATGTCGCTAGAACGTTATGTCTGGATTTATGATGTTGATGAGAAGATTCGATGCATCAAAACATGCGCAAATTCTCGAGGCAAACCCTATCAAAGAGTTATGGATTTATGATTCTTCAATCGCTCAAGCTTCTTTAAGCATGGCAACTAAGAAACAAGTGAGATTAGTCGGGTGCTTTATAAGTCTAGGTTTATGCACCCTGATGTTGGCCAAAATACGTATAATCATGTCCGCCAGACAAATGAAAGCCACGAAATGTGAATGCATTCTCGAATTCAGCCTCACCTCCCCAACTCAAAGTAGTCTTTTGGTAGCTACGCCCCATGGATGAAGCTTTCTCCAAAATGCGTCTATGTCACAGTTTGCATGCATTTGCGAGGATCGATTAAGCAGGTCGTATGCAGTCCCAAGATATAAATGGTACCTGCATAAAAGATTGTAAATCTTAAGTGTGCAATTCACTTAACTGATAAGATTTATATTGATTGTTCAACAATCTGGTAGCTACATAATAGTGTTGTATCGATGGCCTTCGTTATTCTTAATTCTCTAAACCAGTTTGTTTGCAGGAAATTGAGTTTTTAAGAAATTTTGGAAAATATTGTAGACCACATACTCATTTTACTTTGATTAGTCTAATAACTATTGTGGAATATTAATCCATTTGCAACGTGTCGTTTCCGATGCCTAAACTCCACCCACGGCGAACTCAAGATCTAGTTTTGATTGTTTTTAACCTTGAGATATCAATGGACCAAAATAAATTCTTAGTCCTCAATTCAACCGGCGGCTAAAACTGTAAAACTTGTTTGTGCATTTATCCCCAAATTGGACCATTGCAAACACATGGAGCCTTGATGATCAATACTGATGGACATCAGGACTATCAAGGAAGAACAGCACTGCAACGGGTTTTTTTTTTTTTTTTTGGTCGGTAAAAACTTATTTCATTACTCATTAGGAAATTCACCAAAGCAATGTCCCATGTCTTTACATAACAAAGAAAAAAGACAATGGGGAATAGTAGACAGCTAGTTCATTGGCAAAGATTCATTCCAGTGGGCCTTCACTACCAAATCCGTGGCCCGGTTTACTTCTCTCTGGACAAAATGCAACTGACACACCCTCTAAGCAGCCCAAGAGATTGGTACAATCCCTGACTGACGTTTGGACGGCCCATGGAACTTCGGCCCGGCCCATGATGTAGCTTTCCAACAGAGTACAATATGACTCGATCTAAACTGATGTACTTCCGTCGTTCAGTATGCTCGGCAAGGCTTCTCTTTGACTTTTCACGAACAGCACTTGCAACGGGTTTAATAGGTGTGAACTTGAAAGGGGCAAATGTTGGATATTTCAACGATTTCGAAATATTCAAAGCCATTGTTTTGTAACGGCTCTAGTAGAAATGTAATGTCTAATTTGATTTGTTTCTTTAAGGATAAGCGCACCATAAGTCCTAACTTGCCATGAAAGTGCATTGAGTGCTAAAACTTTCACAAAGTGCTATCAAGTTCTAAAATTTATCAAATTGGTGCAATCAAGTCATCCGTTAACTTTGTCCAACTTGACAAACGGAAAATACTGATATAGCATTTTTTTTATTACTTTTTCTCTCCTACATGACATTTATATTATTTTCTTTTTCATATTTTACTTAAATTATATTAAATAAATTTAAAAAATAATTTTTAAAAAAAAAAAAGCCAAATACCGCTATCGCCGCCCATCGTCAAAAATGGCCGATGGAAGTAGCCTGGGCCTTACTGAAGCCTAGCGACCCTCGTTAGCCCCCAATGAGAGCCTGCTGGCCCAGATCTGGGGAGGACGCAACCCTCCTGTAGATCTAAGCAAGGATCAGCGGCTCCCGGCGAGGGTCACCAATCATCAGCAATGACCAGGCAACCTCCACCAAGCCTTTCCAGCGATGGATGGCGGCGGTGACCACCAGCAAGGGACTTTGATTCAATTTGTGTTTCTTTTTGTAGTTTGTGTTTTTTTTTTAGCTTTTTATATTTTTAATCTAATTTAGTTTGTATTTCTTTTTATTTTGTTAATGTTTTTCTAATGTGGCGCTTAGTGGGCACTACATCGTCACCACATGTCTTAAGTAATAAAATAAGACATGTCGGCATTTTCTGTTAGCTTAGTTGGATGGATTTATGGAAGAGCTTGATTGAGCCAATTTGACAAGTTTTAAGACTTAATTGTATTTTTGAAAGTTTTAGACTCGATTATACTTTAGTGATAAGTTTTAGGACTTTCAATGCACTTGTATCGTTTCTTTATTAACCCTTTTCCTTTCATTTACCATTAAAGAGAATCTCCAAATCACAATAAAAAGGGCAAAAGATACCAAAAACCCTAAACTATGTACACTTGAACATATTTACCTTAAACTTTTTTCTGTGATACCAAAAATCTTAAATTTATACCAGTGTGACACATGTACCCTCCGTCAAAGTTTTATCAATGAGAACAATTAAAAATCTACCTATATGGATGCCATAAAGCAAACAGTATTAATATGGTGCTTACGTGACTTATATGAAATAAAAATGAAGTTGTTTTGGCTGACAAAACATTGACGGAGGATAAATGTGTTACATAAGTACAAGCTTGAGATTTTTATATCACAAAAAAAATTTAGGGTAAATGTGTCACAATGGGCATAGTTTGGGTTTTTGCTGTCACAAAAAAAAAAGTTTAGGATAAATAAGCTACATTGGGCATAGTTTGAGATTTTTTGTGAATTTTGCCCAAAAAAAAATACCAAAAACAAGAAAGTCTCTCTTTTCTTTCCACTTATTTGCTTGGCTTCACACATAACAATGTTGTTCATGTTCCCTTTATTTATTGTGTGCGGAGAAAACAAGAAGATATGTTGTAAACTTGGAGGATAGTCGCTACAACCTATCGCACCGAGGTTCATACTTCGAGAAGTGGTATTATCCATAAAGATAGTGCTTGCACGCCATACATTTGTTCTTATTTCACATCTTTTCCAACGGTTAAATGCAACAATCTTAAGGATAAGTCCTATGGGTCTCCAAGTTGAAATTTTTGCCATTATCACCACCGCTGCCACCGTTGATGTCTCTATCTCTGCTGCTCCAATTGTGTTACCACCACTTCTACATATGTCCTATGCTAAACCATTTCATAACATATCAAAGATTGAAATTTTTAATGGCAACAACTTCAAAAGGTGGCTAGAAAGGGTTTTCTCTATCCTAGATGTACATGGAGTAGCTTTCGCACTTATGGAGGCTAAGCCAACTGATAATAAGCTACTAGAACAATGGATACATGCTAATAAGATATGAGCAGACAAAAGTTCGTGATTGGAATTATTGGTAAGAAATGTATGATCATAAGGATATGAAGACACGTGTCCATGAATATCACAAGCTAGTGGAGGACTTGAAGGCAAAAAACACCAATTTACAAGAACTTATTGTAGGGTTGCTAATTGAAGAGCAGCCAGATTATTGGAATGACTACAAGCAATAACTCAAGCACAAAGACAAGCAATTGTTACTAGCCGATCTGGTCGAGCATATCATCATGAGGACACCCCCGCAAGGAGATGAAGGCTGCCAAAGCTAAAAAGATTGTTACCAGGGCAAAAAAAAAAAAAATTTTGGTAAGGTAATTTACCAGGGCAAATTTGGTGTAAGGCAAACCTCAATATTGCTAAAACAGGTATAATAACAAAAAAAAAAACCTTATTACAAACACAAAATTGCCCACCCCGTCTTCAAAAAGAAAGACTCTCACTTTGTTTATGGTAAACTAGGTCATCATGCAGCGCAATGCAAAAAGAGAATAAACGAGAAATGACAACCTACTAAACCAAAAGTCAACCTGGTTGAAGCAAATGACTCTAATGACATAAATGTTGTGGTCATTTTCCAAATGGGTGATAGATTCTAGTGCTACCAAGCATATTTGTGCAAATAAAAATGCTTTTTCCTCCTATACTGCAGTAAGGAAAGGAGAAGAGATTATTTATCTTAATGATTTGAGAGTTGCTCAAGTTCTTGGGAAAAAAAAAGTTCTTCTCAAACTCACATCTAACAAGACTTCGGCTCTAAATGATGTACTGTATATCCCTAATATAAGGGCGAACCTAGTTTCCGTAGCTCTTTTGGGAAAGGTTGGGGCGAAGGTGTCATTGTCAGATTTGAATGACAAAGAATAATGTCTTTATGGGAAAGGGTTATCGTAATCAGGGAATTTTAACGTTTCCAATTCTATCAATGAAATTACTTCTTCTTCTAGTTACTTGGTTGAATCTATTGATTTATGGCATGGTAGATTAGGACATGTTAATATTTCTTATATTAAGAAAATGCAAAAACAAGGTTTAATCTTTGGGATTAAAAACACATGTTTTAAAAAATGTATAATATGCGCCAAAACAAAATTAACTAAAAAGCCTTGTATGTTTGTAAATAGAGAATATGAATTGTTGAGTTTAATTTATACTGATTTAGGTGATGTAAAACAAACTATCACTAGAGGAGGTAAATCATATTATATGACTTTTATTGATGATTATTCTAGATTTACCAAATTTTATTTGTTTAGGCATAAAGATGAAGCTTTTGATATGTTTTTTTTAATAAAGCTAAGGTAGAAAATCATTTGAATAATAAGATAAAAAAGTGGTAGATCAGACAGAGGTGGTGAATATGTATTGCTTAATGAATTTTGTGAAAAGGAAGGAATAATTCATGAAACTACCCCTCCTTATTCTCCGAAATCAAATGAAGTAGTAGAAAGGAAAAATATGACATTAAAAGAAATGATGAAATATATTCTTCTTAGTTCTAAAGATCCTAATAATTTATGGAAATAAGTTATATGTCACATCCAAAATAGAATTCATTTTAAGAAAACTGGTAAGACACCTTATGAATTATGGAAGAATTATTGTCCTAGCTTAAAATATTTGAAAATGGGGGGATGCCTAGTTAAGGTTATTCTTCCTAGTTCTAAGAAAAGCAAAATAGGATCTAAGACATCTTATTGCATGTTTATTGATTTTACCAAACATAGTGCTACATATAGATATTTTGTATTAAAAAGAGATGTGCTTAATAATAATACAATTGTTGAGACAAAGAATGTGGAACTTTTTTAGCATATTTTTCGTAAAGATCTAATACTATTTCACATGCACCTCTTCATAAAAATGATATTAAAAAATCAAATGATTAATTGAGGAGTAAAAGACCAAGGAAAGAAACTTCTTTTGGAAATGATTTTAATACTCATCTTGTTGATAATGATCCTTTTAACTTACTTCAAAGCAATTTCTTCTAGAGAAAGTATTTTTTGGAAAGAAGCCATAAAAATTGAGATTGATTATATTTAATAAAATCAAAGTTGGGAATTGGTTGATTTACCAATAGGTGCAAGACCGATTTGTTGTAAATGAGTTTTTAAAATGAAATTTAATCCTTATGTTCCATTGATAAATATAAAGCAAGGTTGGTTGCAAAAGGTTTTACTCAAAAACAAAATGTTGATTATTTGATACATTTGCTACAATAACTAGAATTTCATCTATTCGTCATTTAATTGCATTAGCTTCCATTTCCAAACTTGTTATTCACCAATTAGATGTTAAAACAGCTTTTCTAAATGGTGATGTAGAAGAAGAAATTTACACGATGCAACATAGGGCTTTATTCTTCCTAGCCAAGAAAACAAAGTTTGTAAGCTCGTTAAATCCTTATATGGCTTAAAGCAAGTACCAAAGCAATGGCATGAGAAATTCGATCAAGTTCCAATTAATAATGGATTTTCCTCTATTGGAATAGATAAATGCGTGTGCACAAATATCATTTATGGTGAATATATAATTATTAGCATATATGTTGACGACATACTTATTTTTGGTATAGGCATTGATGTTGTAAATGAAGAAAAATGTTGTTTGACTTCTAAATCTGATACGGACTTGGGAAAAGCTAATGTTATTTTGGGTGTTAAAATCATAAGTGATAGTGGCTGAATGCTTACTCAAGAGCATTATGTAAATATGCTACTTAAAAAATATGATACTTTGATGTCACATATATAAGTACTTCTTATGATGCTAATACCCAATAAGTGAAAAACATATGGGTAATATGTTCACTCTTGGTGGAGATGCTATAACTTGTAAATCAGCTAAACAAACAATATTTGCTAAATCTATTATGGAGTCAGAATTCGTAGCTCTAGAACTGGTTCACACAACGAGGCTGAGTGGATAAGAAACTTCTTAGTAGACATTCCTTTGGGAATGAAACCAACACCTTTTGTGTCTAAAGAACCTCCAAATCTAATACTAGCACATGAAACTCAGCTTTTTCCACAATCAGTCCGCTTAATCTCTACATAGCTAACAGAATTGAACACAAAACCAAGCCCATCAGAATACAAAAGAACTTTGCGGCTTTGAGGATGCGAGATTCATGAAAGTTTCCGCGAAATGAACAGCGAGAAAGCCGCAGAGATAAAAATCATAGACAGAGTAGAAGTAAAATCAACGAAAGCCAGGTCACTGCAGATCACATCCCTGCCCTGTCCCCACTAATCTGGGTTCCGGCAATATGAGAATTTTGGAATTCTGTATGCTAACAAGATCCCTGACACTTTGTCTAACTCAAGATTTCACACCCCACGACAATTCCAGGTGATCATCTTGAGAGATCCATTAGAGTGAGGGACTTCCTCCAAATGAAGACCACGAAAAGCATTAACTAACCGACTATCAGCTTTCATGGGAAAACTATAACCAGAATAGGGTACCGCCCTAGTTATTATGAGCATGAAATTCACTCTAATAAGCTCCATTTCTAATAATAGTATATGAAACTTCGCTTTCTCCGCAATCACTCCGCCTAATCTCTACAAAGGTCACAAAATTGAACACAAAACCAAGCCCATCAAAATACAAAATATCAATGTGGCTTTGAAGACGCGAGATTCTTGAAATTTTCTGCGAAATGTAAAGCAATAAATAAAGTCATCAACAGCTTAGGATCTGTTCTGATTGACAAAACAAAACAAAAATAGCTTCGAAAGCAATGGAGGGGAAAACGAAAAGAGGAAAAATGTAGCAACTTGTTCGAGGCCATAATCAAAACCAAAAGAGATTTGATAGGCATGGAGAATCGCTGATTTATCACCAACCTTCAATGCAATTTGCGCCATCGATTTTAAATCGATGCCTTTGCTTTGCTAATTGGCTTCTCCGTCACAATTTTGAGGAATCAAAAAAGCTCACTAGAAAAAAGAGTTAAGAAGAAACATAGTTGAAGATGATCAGATGGACACAATGGATTCGCAGAAAAAAGAGTTAAGAAGAGCCATTTGTGAACACTAAACAGAGGCAAGTACAACAGATCCGAACATCTAACTTATTTGAGAGAGAGAGAGAGAGAGAGAGAGAGAGACTCTTACCTCTGCAAACGACTTGATGATTGAAGCTGGATTGGCAAAGCAGACAACGTTCTTTCGCGATGTAAAGATGCAACAAATGACAAAGTTGAAAAAAACAATTTAACAATAAGTCCCAAAAAAAAAAAAACAATTCACATTTCACCATCTATATATAACAAGGAGTCATTCATCTACAATATCTACTCCTAAAAAAACAACAGACTCCATCTCCGGCTCATCAAGTGAAAGACTCGCAACTTCAAGTACCCCAACATCTTCAAACGTGTCAAATGCATCTCCGCCAATATCCCACATCTTGGTCTCTCCTTCTGCATATTGTGGGTTTTTTCTTGATAGAAGACGAAGGTTGCTGTGAATGAAAACCAAATCTTCTGCACGTTTTGGGGTCATCTTATTTCTTCTCATCGAGTGCACAAAAGAGTAAGTGCTCCAATTTCTCTCAGCACATGATGAAGAAGAAGGTTGTGCAAGAAGTTTTAAGGCTATGTTTTGAAGCATAGGTGCATATGCACCATGATTAACCCACCAAGCCTTAGGATCCCAAGAATACCGATCATGAATGGAATCAAATTCTCTAAAATCCCCATTTTTGCTCGCAAAATCTACATACTCCAAATTTACCTTGTGGTGCTCATCAAAGTTAGGAAAGTATTTCCTAAGGCATTTTAGTCTTTCTTGGTTGATCTCCTTATTCTTGTGTGGAGAAACTCGAGCAGGATCTTCATTGAGCCATTGATCACTATAGTATCTTATTCAATAAAATAAAATCAAAATAGAAAACCATAATAAGTAAAATGAGTATTATATTATCATGTCAAAGAAAGAATAACTAATAAAGTAATAATCTCATACAATTTTAGAACTTACCTAGGATTCAGGGCATGTGCCAAGCAATGAAGTGGAGTGTTCATAGTCCAACGATCCACAAGAATTGTATGAACCACCTCATAAAATGTAGATTCCTCATCTAGCCTTTTCACTTCATGCGCATATATAGCTCTCTTCACTTTTTCAATCATTGAATCCCACATGTCGTAGACTAAGTGAAGACAAGGCTTGTCGGTGTCAAAAATTCTAAGCATGTCATAAATAGGAGCCGTGAAGGAAAGTATATAATCAATTGAATCCCACAAAAAATCATCCAACACCTTCTCCTTGACAAACTTAGCTCTCCCATGATTATCATCTCGATAGATATTCCATTTGTCACAAATAACCATACTTTGAAGACCACCTTTTATTAGTTTAAACCTTCTAAGCATCACAATCATCGAAGCAAAACGTGTATCCGCTACGGAAAGCAACTTCAAGTTAACAAACTCATTGTATATTGCTAATCTCATGGAATGGTTCGTGATGAAATGTTTGATTTGCATAACATCCCCAACAATCTCTGAAATCCAACTACATTCCTCATAAACTACTTGATTGATCTCCACATTCTTTGCGGCACAAATGTTCTTCAAAGCTAGATTAAGGGTGTGCACCACACAAGGCGTCCAAACAATGGATGAAAATTCTTGCTCGATGAGTTGTCCCGCGCCCTTACAATTTGAAGCATTATCCGTAATTACTTGAACCACATTCTCATGCCCAATTTCATCGATTACTTCTTTCAACGAGTTAAAAATAAAATGCATATCCTTTATTTCTCCCGAGCAATCAACCGATTTTATAAACATAGGTTCTCCATCCGATACCGCCATAATATTAATAAGTGGTCTCCTTTGTGGGTCACTCCATCCATTACTCACAATACTTACACCCCATTCCCTCCACATGTTTCTAATAGGAGCATACAACCTATCGATATTTGCCTTTTCTTTTTGCAGCAAAGTAGTCCTTAATAAATTATATTTCGGTGGTACATATCCCGCAATATTATGATTAGCGGCATAAGTGAAAGCGGATTGAAAGTAAGGGTTCCTTGCTAGGTTAAACGACAAGCCCGCCGAATAGAACATCCTAGCAATTTCATAATCTAAACGTTCCCGTTCAGTCATGTTGAGTGCCTTCTCAATTGATCCTCCACTCCCACTTCCAATCTTCCTTTTTTTGGAGTCAAAGGATGAATCCATCCCCTCACCACCACCACTAATTGAAAAACTAGAAGGGGGTAAAGGTACATTTTTAGGCACAATACTCATTAATCTAGTATTGACCTCTTCATCTAATCTTTCCATCTCGAAAAGATCCTTCTTTTCTACTTTTCCGCATTTTCCAATTCCTTTTCCACTTATCATCAACAAATGGGCCCTAATTCTCGTGTATGAACTCTTAAAATCTTTTTCACAAAAATTGCATTTCCAAGACACATTTCCCCCCGCATCGCTATGAGTAGCTAACTTAGTAATATACCTCCATAGTGGTTTATTGAAATCTTCATTGCTAGATGTAGGTGGTCGAGTACTGGAAGCGCCACTATCCATGCTTGAAGTCAATCTACAAAAAATACAATTACAAGAACTATAAATTTAATATATACTAGTAAATATGATGGCCAAAAAGCAAAAATAAACATATATAATAATAAGCACATCCATTGTTACCTCATATCATTGGTGTATTGCAATAGAATGAAAAATATAAGAGCAAAATCATATCATCCAAATTGCCTAAATATTTAAATTACCATTGTAATGCAGTTAATAGTTAATAGGGCTAAGCATGGTCCAGATGAGCGGTTCCAGAAACGGTTCCGAAAAATTGGAACCGGAAACTGCCTATTGGTTCCATGGATCCACCCGGGACAAGATGGGTGGATCCATGGAACCGATCGACCATTACTACAAAATTGCATTCACCTGCTCGAATCAAGCAACACGTCATCAAATCGGACAAAATCTTTAACTACTTCTTATTCATATTCTCGGAGGCATTCTATCAAACATGTTATATGCAGCCGATTGAGGAACAGACTACAAACATTGCAAACTCAGATTCCAAACCAGACTACAAACATTGCAAACCGACAAATCCCGAACTAAACTTCAACAGCTAGGTCGAAAATCGAATTCGCTAGAAGTAGGTCGCATATTGAGCAAATCGAGCAAGCGTGACTGGTGTTACCGGAATAAAACTGACCAAAGCGATCAGTGTTACCTAGTTAATCTAAGCCAACACGCTTCTCTCACTCCCAGTGTCAAGAAAATTGGAATGCAACGTCCGATCAGTTTACTTCAAGAAATCATAGAGCACTCGTTCAACGGAAACTGAAGCTCTACACTAATCGACAAACTTCCAATATCCAACAGACTACCCGCGAAATCAGCCTCAAATAATCGGGTAATCAACAATAATTAAGGAGATTCTCGTAATGAATGGCATTAACAAGGAATGCAGAAGTCGTCATATTTTACCGACACATGTGAAGGGGGCAATCTCATAATGATCTTGAACTAAACCAAAAACCCGGTTTAATTAACCATACATAATGCACAAGAAGTTGAAAAGCAAAGATCCAAATTTCTTGATGATAAGTCTGCAGTTAACAGAAACAAGAACTACTGCAGTGAGGTTGCAGAGACCTACCTACAATGGCTCTATCACAAGCATAAAGTAGATCTCAGTTGAGCAAGTAGCAAGTTCTAAGTTCGAAGGGCTTTTATCCGTAGCTAAAATCTCTGTCGATTGCATCGTCAAATAGCTATATTAAATGACTAAAAATTCCATATAGAAACTTTTACTTACTTGAAAAATTCTCCATCAACTCTGCATTAGCCCACAGTCTCCAAACCCAATCGGAAGCAAATAGATTGGTACATGAGCTGATTTAGAAGTCAACTAAGAACAAGGACCTCCCCTGCAATGCAGATAGGACGAACACGGTTAAGCCGGATCAAACCATTTCCACACCTCTTTATCACACCCAGCCGCCGAAAAGAATCACAGAAACAGTGCAAACATTACAAATTATGCTCAGACAAGGTAAAGCATTTGTACAAAAAGATAGCCTTGATAAAATCTACATATAAAGCACGAAAAATAAGCCATATAAGCACTTTTGCTCACATGATGAATACCCATCAACAAATGCAAGATGGGCACCGGACAACATGTGTCAAAACTGTACTGCCAGAGGAATGAATCAACAACGAGGATCACGTCTGAAGCAACAAAAAATCCACCCAGTGAGTCTCCCGGCGTGTAAATTTGAACTAAGTGAGAGGCAAAAGAGTGGCCGGACACGGAGAGAGAAGGAGCAATCGCACCGGCGAACCCCGGCGACCGTGAGCTCGACAAATTTCGGGATCGACATTGTGATTACAGAGGCGGAGACAAGACAGAGAGAGCGAACTCACCAAGGGAAGCTAGCGATTGAAGTCCTCGCCGGCTGCAGGCGGCGGCGCCGGACGCGAGCTTCCGGCGGCGGTTCCCGGCGGTCGTGAGCGAGCGAACGGTGGCGAGAGCGCGACGACGGGGGGATGAAGGGGAGATCGATGGATAGAGAGAGAGAGAGAGAGAGAGAGAGAGAGAGGGAGGCGGGGATGGAGAGACTTGGGCCGTCGGATGGAAAAGCCCAGCTATCAAGGTTGCACGCGCATCGCACGTGATCATGCTCTCATGCAAGAACAAAGATTTAGATTGGAGACTTGTTTTAGAATATAGGGAAGAAGAGGAATGAAAGGTTTAAGCTGTGTGAGAGCTCGGGAAAACTATTGCTCATTTCGAAAGACACAACATTCTCCCGAAACTTGAAAAGGTGAAAGTAGCGATCTTTCGAAAAAATGCTTTTTATTGTGATTCATGTTTCTTGATTAATTAAACAACACGTCGTTTGATGAAGAGGTAATGATATTGGAAATATATTAACTTTTTGTCCTTTTACATTTTTAAGTCTTCATCGTGACCTCTCGAAATGATGCCATGTTACCTGTTGACATATTGGATGATTAAGATCATATGAGTCACACACATGCAATCTTTCTTGTCATCAAGTTAGGGGTGTGCATGGTCCGGGTGGGCGGTTCCCACCCCGGAACCGTGGATCGCCCGCTACAGGACCGGTTCCAAAAATTGAAATCGAGAACCGCCCGTCGGTTCCATGGACCCGCCCGAGAACCGGACCGCCGGTCCGGTCCGGTTCTTGGGCGGGTCCATGGAACTGGTTTCAACAAGTTTTCCTAGACAAATAAAAAAAAAATCTGTGGACCAACATCGGATCAACAAAACAAAAGGAAAAGAACATAACTTTTCATACAATTCCTACACTATGATCGATTATATTAACCACATCATCCATAAAATCAGTGGGTACCCATTAATTATTGGGAAAAATGACCAAGGTATCCTAACTACACAAGAGCTTCAGACATGATAATCAATTTTCTTCTTTTTTTAAATTTTTTTTGGTCAGATTTTTTTAATTAAAAATTTAAAAAATAAAAATATATTATTATTATATTACCGGTCCGGTCCGGGTGGGCGGGTGGGCGGTTCCACACCGGGAACCGGGAACCGGACCGGTTCTGGGCGGTTCCAGACAGTCTGGGCGGATCCCGATTCTTTTGCACATCCCTACGTCAAGTGATACCTAAATGGAAATGATTATGTCCACAATAATGCTTAACTTTTGCTGAGTGAGCAAGTCAAATCAGTAAAACCTTATCACTTTCGAGGCCTCACATTGAGTCGAGTAAGGCGGGAAGAGGAGCCGGAAGACCGTCCACATCAAAGATATACCACGGATCAAGCGAACATTGGCACTATCTCCTCATTCCTCCACATTCATAAATTAGGGGCATTTTTTTTTAACTAGAAATAGCCTTCCTACACGAAAAATTAACTTATGCAAGATTGCCCATTTTTTGTGAATGAATGCTAACCCGACCCGACCCGACCCGACCCAAGTTTTATTTTTATTTTTCCATTTTATTTATGAACCAAATAAAAAAATAATTCTTTAGAGGTTGATGGTGGACTATGCTCCTGAGTTCGGGTTAATATGGTGTTAAATGAGACCTTGATTTTTAGGCGAAGCCCAAAACCCATGCGAGTCTTGACGTCAAGCCGACATGACCTTTTATGTAACCCGGCCTCACACTCTCCCTCGTGAAAGAAGACTTAGGCTACTACTCCATCTCTTCACTGGAAACAGCATGAAATCCAACCATTCCTTGGCACGATCCCTTGCCTAAGCTATCCTAAGTAACGCAAAGATGCGAAGACAATCTCAGCTTCTAAGGGGAAAAGCAATGCTTGCCGAGATTGAGACAGAAATAAAACAAAGGAGGGAAAGAGAAGAGAAATCGGCTCTCACATTGCAAAGTAGAGGAGAGAGCGAGGTCTCACGGAACGACATCGTCGGATCAAGATCGGAGAGGATCGAGCAAAGGGATATCTTGCCGCCGTGGGAAGTCGCGGGTCTCGACTTTGTCGTGACGATTCATTTATCCTCCTTCAATGTTTTTCCTCCATTTTTAAACTTAGAAGCCAAGGACAGCAGCAAGCAAAGGACTCGGACCACATCGGCCAAACGGGGTCAAACCGGCGCCGCCGCCGCCGCCCAGAGATAAACTCCCACGAGGTAACTCCGATCACTACCCCTTCAACTCTCGCGTTTCTCACGTGGTAAAAAGAACTACGAGGAACCCGACAACATTCTTAAGTGAAAATTTGGTTCGTTTTGTCCGGGAGAGACCCTTTTTCCTTAATCAGGAAGAACGACACCGAACTTTGCTTTGACTGCGGCTGCATCGCCGTAACCACTCGCTCCCCACACCTTCCCCATACGGCCGAAGAAGATGAGAAAGGAAGGATTTTGAGGCAAACCCATGAATGGTCCCCGCTCCCCTCTCCGACCCTGCCCCACATGTTCGCGTCTAACCTCCCGGTCCGACCCTCGACCCCGCCGCGTTGTCTCGCTCAGCCGCCGCCGCCGCCGCAGCAGCAGCAGCGCCGCCTGAGCGAGCGTCCCCGCTTCGATCGCGATCGCGGGTCCAAGCTCGTCGGGAGGCTCCGCCTCGGGTGCAGGAGGCTCGCGGCCTCGGTGTATTGGGGCAAGGTCGACCTGGTGGCGAGGATGGGCGCCGGGTGCTTCAAGGTCGCGAGGGAGAGCGACAGGGGGGTGAGGGTGGAGTTCGACAGCGGCGGGCAGGACTTCTTCGACGCCGTCGCCGTGGAGGCCGGCGGCGGCGGCGGCGCCCCGGAGCATCTTGTCATCATGGTTAACGGGATGGTCGGAAGGTACGGGTGATTGGTTTGGTTTTGATCTGGGTGAGGGGTGAATTGAGTACATTGTGGTCGTTTTCGTGTCCTCCGTATTACCTGGGGCCTCCAACACTTAGTTTGTTAAGAATCTAAAAATGTGATTTTTGGAGTTCATTGGGTCTTAGATCATCTTAGAATCGTTGGTACGGTGTTAGTTATCGTGGAATTCTTGGTATGTCGTGCTTTCATGAGTGTGCATATTACATGTTGGGGGCTTGAGTTATGAGTTTGGATATGTTGTTTGCTTGAAGGATTCATGTCGCCAAAAGCATAGTTGTAGTAGTTGTTGCTTGCCGTCAGAGTGATAGTTTGGAAGCATGCTAAGTTGTTAACATTCTATCTTAGATATTCAATGCAACGGTTTTATAGTTGTCAGGAGAGCTTCTACGCTCTGTGGAATAAATAGATGCTGTCAATAAGTGTTGTTCCCCTGTACACCAATGATCTTTTTAAATAATCATTTTCTCTATTGCTTGGTGTGATAATTATAATCATAATTACTGCTGCCTTCCTGAAAAAATAATTGTCCGAGGTGATGAATCATGAGCCGAAAACTCATACATGGTTATTCACATTGTTCAGTGCTGAAGATTGGAGGTTTGCTGCTGAGCAGTTCGTGAAGAAGCTTCCAGATAAAGTGATAGTCCATCGTGAGTACTCCTTTGCACAGACAGTTTTCTCTCTTCACCCCCCCCCCCCCCCCCCCCTGCGACATCAAGTACTGTCTATTACTTGTGTAATATACGTTTCCTATCTGTGTTTTCTCCATGATAAGCATTAACATAATGGGTACATGGGTATCGATCATTAGTGATAACTTTGTTAAGGATAACATGAATGGGTCTTCTTGGTTGTCCTATGGACATATGCATGCTGGGACGAAGCAGGTACACTCATGACACCCTAGGTGTGATGGAAAAACACATGAGAGAAGTTCCTCTAATTCTTTTTCTGAACTAGGGTCATAATACATTGCCCCAAGAGAGGCAGTTTCTCTTTGTGCAAATTTGCTGCAAGTTTTAAGCTATTATTTTTAGCTTTTTTTTTCTTTAATCTCATCTTTGTTGGTTGTATCTCATGCATTAAATGTTCGGCTTTCAATACCCCTATAGCATCAGTACCGGGGGAAGTGTATTAGAGTGGGATAACGCATCAATCTGTGTCCTCCTTGAATCATTTTATTTGTGTATGAGGTTCTGCTTGTTCAAACTTACTACGTTTCTTCGGGATGTTTTCTGTTGGCTGCGATAGTTTAACTGCCAAGCATTAGTAAATAGGTAAATGTTACTGTTTTGATTGTATACCCAAAAAGGTTACTGCTTTAAGAGTCCTGTAATTTTTCAATTTGTTGTATTGTCACTTCTGAGTATCTGTGAATTCCGTCAATATTCAGAGCTTCTTTCTGCCAAAATAGCATTGTTTCGTAATTTCTTATCTTGTAATCTATTTTGGTGTTTTGAGTCATAATATTGAAAGCTTGGTAACTTTGATTTCTACTGAGCCATTTTCTGTACAAAAAGTTTATGCAAAATGGCCTGAATGCTGGTTTTGTTACTTCTTCCAAAATCCTTATATTTTTTGTAGTATACTCATCGACCTAATGTGCACATGTTATTTTATTCACGCTTATGAAGTGCTTTAATGTGGCCAACAAGAAGTTGACAACTAAGCCTCCTTATTCTCTTCAGGTAGTGAATGCAACTCGTCGAAGTTGACATTTGATGGTGTTGACATGATGGGTGAACGATTGGCAGAAGAGGTATTATTATATTTTTTTACTCAAGTTAGTTATCTGTTTGCTGCATTGTATTTGGAACGGGGAATGTGATTGTCTGCTTAATCGTGTGATATTGAGTGGATGTTCAGAGAATTATAGATATTTTGAGCTTGATTCTTTTTGATGCAGGTTTTGGATTTTGCTTTGTCTTGTTTTTTGACCATTAATGCAGGTATTGGGTGTTATCAGGCACAGACCTGGGGTTCGTAAGATTTCCTTTATTGCACACTCCTTGGGAGGCCTTGTTGCAAGGTATGCTATTGGGAGACTTTATGAAGAACCTTCACAATCAGAACTCTGTACTGCTATTAGGGACCGCCCAAGTGAAGAGCAATCAAATCATCAGATGGAAGTTCTGGAGCCTCACGAAGCCAAAGTTGCAGGTTTGGAGCCAATGAATTTCATAACAGTTGCTACACCACATCTTGGGTCAAGAGGGCATAAACAGGTGACACTGATCATTATCCTGGCCTATACTTAATCTGAAGATGCAGCTGCATAGAACACGAACTCCAGTTCCTCTGTCACTGTTTGAGTGGATGTCCATTACACCTGCTTTGCCTCCTTCAATCTTTCCCTTTGCTAATTGTGTGAGGTGTTCTTATTCTTTGTATTTGTTGATTGTATGGAAAATTTAACTTCTAGTCCATTAATGATAATATGCTGCATGCAACTCATAGGTAGAACGTCTCTGATGCGCACCTATTGAAATTCTTCTGGTGTTGTTTCTGTGCAAACTTATACTTTATCTTTTCCCATTGGTATTGGCATTTGGATAGGATGTAATGATAGTACAAGCGGTCCTGAAATAGTTTATTGCCCTGCAAAATTTTTATTTCTATCTATGTCTTTGTTATTCCTGTAGCTGCCTTTCCTTTGCGGTCTTCCCTTTTTGGAGAGAAAAGCACCTCAAGCAGCGCATTTGATTGTTGGGAGGTCTGGAAAGCATCTCTTTCTTACTGACGGTGATGATGGGAAACCTCCTCTTCTTCTCCAAATGGTCAATGATTCTAAAGATCTGAAATTCTTGTAAGTGTATTGACTACCCCCTTCTCATCAGAAGTCCAAAGTTTTGGCTTTTTTTCCTCCTCATTTATGGTAGAATAACAGCTTGGCTCCTGTGTAGGTCAGCTTTACGCGCTTTCAAACGGCGTGTAGCATATGCAAATGTCAATTATGACCGTATCCTTTTATGCTCCTACTAACTTTTACGGGGTTTATATTTGAAGATAATCTTTGAACCTGCCTTTTTTTCTTTGTGTGGATCTTAACTATATTTATAAAGAAGTCGTTGGGTGGGGAACATCATCAATCCGGCGTCAACATGAACTTCCTAAGGTAGGGTGTCCCTTCATTTTTTATTTGTCACGCCTGCAAAAGATAAATTAACATCTGAGAAGTACATTCAGAACTTGCTTTAGTGATAAATTTTCTGCCTTTTCATTTCCAGTCCAGTCTTCTGGTAAAAGATGAGAGATACCCTCACATTGTTTACGTGGAGAAAGAAACTTCTGAGATGTTTCAAAGGAGAGCGTCTTCTCTGGTGACTGACAAAAGGATTGATTTGGAAGGTTTGTTATACCCTTTAACTCCTTTGACTACTTGATTACCATTATCTGTTTGCTTGTTTCTTGATTAACTGTGAAGTCTAAGGGCGAGTTGTTGACTTTGCTCTTTGTAGTTGATAAAACAATTCTGCAAATGTTGCGACGGAAGAAGCCGATTATTCTAGACAATACATTTTCTTTTCTCTCTTTCCCTAAGAATTGTTAAGCCTGTACTTATATGGATGAACAGTCAGGGAGAGAATAAAATAGATTTGGTAGTACAAAAAAACAGTTTTGTGCTTTTGGATTCTAAAGCTTCTTAAAAGTTGTTTTATCTGGCTGGATCGATCCCTGGCCTCTGTGAAAAAAAAGGTGACCGCTTTTCTGTTGTCTACTTCGGGTGACAGTATCTTGTTGCTGTTAGCATGGTCCATAAATCCATAGTACATCACAGGGTTACCATAAATTGCCCATTACCCCGTGATTGGCTATCACAGGGTAAATGTGTCACAATGGGCAAAGTTTGGGGTTTTTTGTGGCTTTTTCCCTAAAAAAATCTCAGTAAATGTCTCCTTGTAGCAGTAATAAGGGCCAATCAGCTGCTATGGCAGTAATATTGTGGAAAATAAATATACTTCGCTGTGCTAGTGGCAATAGGGCCTGTCATGAGTGATATTGGAGTTATGAAATGAAACTGACAATTCATTATGCTATGTTTTTTTTTTTTTATCTCATCTAATCTTCAAATCAAAATGAAATCTAGCTTTTTCGACAGTTATATAGGAAATGCTCTATCTCAAAGCAGACCTTTAATGAAAATCATGTAATAGGTGATGGTATTCTTGTTAATCATAGAAAGAATTGTAAAGATATTACAATATTTACAATATTATGAGATCAATGCTTATGTATGAGAAAGCCTCTTCTCCTACTATGTAAAGAAGAACAGTGTGTGAAAGAGACAGGGAGGATAAAGGAAAGTTTCTGAGGAACTGTGCCCCTCGTTTTCCTCCTCGAGATCTTTAGATTAAATTCAGAATGTTTTCAGTTGATTTAACTCTTGAATATAATTGTAAAATAAGATCTGGAAATTAAATCAAAGTATTATATTTCTGGGAGTCTTCTGGTTACGTTCTTTATAAATAATCTGATCTCCGATTTCTCAAAATTTAAACTGGCCATTTGATTTTTGTTTCTGCGCCTTATCTTGATGTAGGAACTTTTAATTGTCTCCTCTTGTATCAGACAAAGCTTTGTCTGTTCTTCCCCTTCTTCCGTTAATGTCCTGTTAATTTATGGACCTGAATATTACATCTTATGTCATTTTCATTCTCCGACTGACTTTTGTGACCCTTTTCCATCTTCTGTGTAGAGGAGATGATCAGAGGCCTCACGCAGGTGCCTTGGGAGCGTGTAGATGTCAGCTTTAGCAAAAGCAAACAGCGGTATTCTGCACATAATACAATCTTGGCAAGTTTCGAACTTCATCTTATTTGACTTAACTTTTTTGCTATCCATCTAGTGATCACTCAGTCTCACATTCATATTTTGATTGAAAGACTGTTGTGTTGTTTTGCTCTCTCATAAGTGGATTTCCCATTTTTGAATGTCATTTGAGAGGTAGATGTCACTTGCATAAGATTGAATCCTATAAGTAAGAATAATATTTGCGTGTTTGAGAGTATATTGAACATATCCAATTAAATGATTAAACCACACCCAAAAGTTTCCACCACCATTCTTACTTTAGAAGATTATTTCACCCCCAATTTTTATCATAAGCTTTTTGCATGAAGGATCTGATAAATATTCCGACTATGTCTGAGCCAAGAAAAATTAAGTGATTAAAATCGAACTTTTGGTTCCTTCCATATTCCAGAATGGCTGTAGAATGCAAGTTGAAAATATTTGACCCAGTTTCCCTTTCCCTTAATTTTGATCCTGTCCTACTGATTCTTTGTTAAAATGTTTAGGCTTCTGATGTGTGCATGCGTGACATTTGTTGAATGTTTCATTTGCAAAGAAAGTTTACTTATTGAGTAACCAAAAGGATAAAAAAAAAAGTGAAAAGTTCTATTACAAACTGATGTCTAATTGCACGATGCTTTGGTTTTCAGGTGAGGAGTTACAGGCTAAATTCTGATGGTGCCGATGTTGTATTCCATATTATTGACAACTTTCTTCTATAGCTTTTAATGGTCAATCATTTGTGCTTCTGGAAAGGGGTTAGGTTTATCCTCGGGGACAAGATGTTCATTGCTATTATGAGCTACTCTTCACTTTGGCTTGCTTGCTTCTCTGTTTTTTGTGTATATGGTTATGCCATCTGTAATTGTACTTTAATTCATTGTTAATCTTTAGAAAAATGTATTCTTTTATGAGCTTGTGGTTTCTAATCTTCCAAAGCACTGAGTTTCGCCTTAAAGCATGCCTCTGTGTGCGTCGCGCACAGGCTTGTGTGCACATGCATGTGCGTGTCCTTTAGGAGGACTCAAGTCATTGTATTGAGACTATTGCAAACAAGCTGGAGGACTAAATCCTGTTACAAGCCCAAACCATAAAGGTGTCAAAGTACTACTACTCTCCTGTCATCACACAAAGATCTACGCAAAGAATTGGCAATCCTAAGGTAAAGCCAATAATGTAAGCCTCAAATCAAGTCTAACACTAGAAAAAGTAATATGTGCCGATAATTTGATATTGACATCCTATCATATTTCCCTTTTATGATATTTCCTGACATTAAAGTTCAATGGAGCTATAATGAGTTTTACTTTTTCAAGCACAGCATATAAGTTCCTCATGTGAATGCCTTGAGCAACCGATGCGCGTTCTGCCAAAACTATGGTCTATGTGTGTCCCACAAGCAAATCCATAGCCACATGATGATAATGTAGTTGTAGCATTGACGGATTGTTGATGAGATGGCAATATGGTATCGAACTTGTGATCAGTATTTTTGTAGAGGTATGTGTCTACTTTTAGGCATTGACCATTTGTTCCATATGAAGTTCATGCTTTAGAGCATTTCTTCACTTTTTGATTTTTTGCAATGCCATGTGGGGTTAACTGATGCTTCTTCTATCTAATATCTCCCCAAGAGATACCTAGTTATGATCCAATATCAGATATCACTGCTTAATGGTTCCCTTCGGAAAATTCATTAGTTCACACATAAGGTAAAAATCCATATACTTGTACTTGATTCAGTGGAAGCTCGGACCTCTCATTGCTCAGGTTCATGAGGCTTTAGAGAATGCTGCTGTTAGGAGGTCTTGACTTTGAAGACAACTAGTTTAGTAATAGCTGCAGGGATTGAGCTTCTATTTGTTTGCCTGGATGCCTATTCTCACTTTCATTGCATATGTTTTGTTCATATGCTTTAAATTCAGTTTTCATAGGTGTTACGGATCAGAAGACCAGTGTTGCATCCATAATCAGTAATTTTTCATATTAGCCATTATGCTATCTCTGCCTTCGACAGGTAGAGCTTGATGACTCGGTAGCCAGGGATGAAAAGCTTCATCATTGACTTTACAGTTATACATGTCGGCATATGAGGCATCTTTTTGTTCTCAACATAATTCTTCATCTTGATCTACAAATCAAGGGTTAGGTTCATTGAGATGTTAGATACTTATTACTGCAACTAGCTGGGCTATGCTACCATGAGAGTCCCCCTGCATCATTGCGCCATCAAGTTTCACGGGTCATGTTAAGTCTTTCCTACTGCTTGACTTGTTCTCCAACCATAAAATCACATCTGCCTCTCATGGCATTCTGAAGTGATCGCTCAGAAGGTCAAACTATCTAAAAGGGGTTTCTCTCTTCTTATCTTTTAGTAGACTGCTCCATTATTTTGCAGACATATTTCTCTCTAATCGTGTTGTGCATGTCTAAACATCCATTTAATTCTCCTCTACCGAAATTATGTTCACCGCGGTACTTGATCTCGCTGCATACTTCCCCTCTAAGCTGGAGCAGACTATAACCGTGATACGATGCACTTTATTGACCCTGCTAGTGCCCTGCAAGTGGTTTGCACAAATGCCTCCATTTTCCGTTCTGGAGAAAGGACCCAATGTATTGGAGGTGTTTGCGTTGGTACGCTTCAGTCAGATCATGTCTGGCACTATGTATAAAGAAGTATCAATGGAGCCAGGATTGCTAATAGTTGTAGAACATCTGGGGAGTAGGGTTATCTACAATAGAATGCTTTCACTCCTTTATGTCATATTAATCTTTGTTAATCTCCATTTGTGGGAGGGTTATTTTATTGAACATTGTTGAAAGTAGATCACATCCACTTGAACTACTCATGCACATTGATTATATACAATATATGTTTAATTTGGAAGAGCATCTCTTAGGTGAGATAAGAGTCAGCAGAGCTGAATGCCTGGAGTGTTTTGCATTTATGCGAGGAAAAGTGGAAAATGCTGCTCATCAAAAAAATTATGTCCGGTTGGATCCCGCTCATCGTTTATATTATGTCTGGTTGGATGATGCAATGGAAAACTTTATGACTTCCCTTCCTAACCTACTAATGTCCTGCTGGTTTATGAAATTCGAAATTTCTACTGGTGGGAAAAGGTGGTAGTAGGAACTCTCTGAGATCTTGTCAATTGTGTCTTATGTTAACCAATTCTTGCCAAAAAAAAAGCAATTCTGCATGCATTTAAGTACCCTCTTTTGATCGTATCTAATTAAGAACAGATAAAAGATAAATGTCTCCTGATAATATTTTGTCGTTGATCTCATCGATTTTGCTCTGGATGGTCAAGAAACTGAAATTCCAGATTCATGTGACTTCTACTTCAGAATTATTCAGACTCCCTTTCCTCTAAATTATTCTATTACCATGTAAATGTTATGTTCTTAATTTATTTTGATTTTATATTCTGCTTTAGTTTTACTAATCTTATGGTTCTCTGAACTAGAACCATCTAGAGAACTGTCTCAGATAGAGCTTCTTGTCCTGGCTCCACATGTCTAGTGTAAAAAATAAACTCATGCAGAGACTCCTTCCATTGTTTACCCGATAGAAAGAGCTAAGTTTGGGTGGGTTGAATACATCTTGTACGGAGGTAAAGAAAGGATGATGTTAACCCTATCTCTGCAGTGAACAACTTTACTTTTTTAGGGATCGTAGTCCTGGATAATTTATTCTTCCTGATTGAGACAGAGTCATCATGCTGACATGATCGAAGATATTGGCTGAAGTAAGCAAAGCTCTCTCGCTGATCAACAGATATCATTTTAGTAGATTTAGAATTGGCTTAAGAATTGAGGTCTTTACAGTTGTGAAGTTATTTTATGGCTCAGTTCGAATTTGAGAAACTCATCATCTAAGAAAGAACAGTCATGATAGCGATTTCAGAGAATGTCCTTTTTAATTGAGGCAGCATAAGATTTTTTTGGTGTATTAGTCGTGGGTTATATTAAGATTCAGATGCTGTTTCCTTCCTCACCAGCCATGCTATATTTTCTGAACTTGATTTTGGACTTTATTCAATAATCAATACTATATATATACCTTCGTGATTCTAGGTCTCTGAGCCTACTAGTCTGAAAATAAGTTTGCATGAATCATAATGTAGAAAGTCAGATTACTTTATCTTTATGGCCCTATTCTTGTCTTGTTACCTATTAGTTTAGGTTTGTCTTGTTAAACACTGTAGTTTGATGTAAATGGGATCAGGATTTCTTGTCAATGCTGGTGTGATAATGGATAATGATTTAACCTTGTGGTAGATGTAAATTGACAAAATCATACTGAAATGTGTCATCTTGTTTAGTTCTCTAACACTTTTAAATCTAGTTAGTGACATCCTGTAATAGGCATGGTGGTACTTGATTTTGTTGAAAATCAAAGGTTTGTGTGTACATATGTCATCCTTGAAGCACCCTGTATATTTCTTATCATTCTTCTACTAAATAAGAAGGTGGAGATCTAATGCTATACATCATTCGAGAAGATCCTTGGGTTTTAAGAAAGAGAAATTACAGCTAGTGGATTTTTGTTAGCCATTAAGTCCATTGAACTTGGTGTAGAAGCTTTCCTTATATTTCTCAATATACAGTCCAAATAGGCTTTACATTCTTCCATCGGCGGACTGGAGATGAGCGCGCTTGGCATGCTAGACTTCTCGCTTGTGCCCCAAGGGCCATCCGGGTGCTTGTATGTCAAAGAGAGGATTGTGCATCCAAGATGGCTCTATAGAGAACAGCAAGTACAGTTCGGCCCAGGGAAAAAAAACTTCAATAGAATGGTTGTATGAGCAACTTCTGTTCAGGCATGGAATACAGTTCTTTATTTGAGTTATGGCATGATCCTGAGTCCTGAAAGGTGGCCAGCTTGATCATAAGGAGGATGAGTAACTTTTGAGGACCTCATTATCATCAATTTCCTCTTCAGAGCTGCAAAACAGACAGTACAAGTGAGTTGGCTATGGAATATATCAAAGATTTAGCCCTTTTCAGAAGCTTTAGATTACCATCCTGCACCGACTATGTCTTTGCAGATTAAGCTCTCTTGAGACTTTTGACTTTCTAATGAATTGCTTGATTTCTCTGTCAGTAGGCTTGATAAACTTTGGCAGAACTGATCACAAGAGAAGTACTGTGAAGTAACATGAAGAGAAATAATCAACATATACAGAAGATGCTGCTATTTACCTCTTTATACATTCCTAGCTCTCCTGCTGATTTTGAGATCTCTACTACGCAGTGCTCGGGAGCAACTTCAATTACCTGAGATAGGTGGGCCTCATTTGACTCATTCAATTGGTACTTCCAAGCATGTCATAACTTACTGCATTTTTAACAAGCTTAATTACCTCCGCTGAAAAATCAAAATAGGATCTAGCACATCTAGTCATCTTTTGCCTTGGATGCATCTTCATCTGACATTGTCAAGCAAATCAGCGTTTGTATAGGTTTGAACTTATAGTAAACGCTCATGAATGTTTGATACCTTATTATTTAACCTTTCAATTGAAAGACTCATATCTGTTGCAGCAGCTTCTATTTTTCTGAAGGTATCGCTAATTGTATTTTTGGATCCAAGCCTCGTCTTTTGTTTCTTCTCTTCCTGTGGTTACAAAACAAACACTGTGACTAAACAAAACTTGTACAGGACCAACGTGTTCAATGTGTTGTGCTCATCTTGTCTTGCCTGTTCTTCAAAAAGTCCTGATAAATCCAGGTCGCGTGACATCGCAATCAATTGAAAAGCATTTATAAAATTGGAGGACTTTGGCATTGTCTTCTCTGCATCGCTATCCTGTTCAGAAGGACACATGATTTAGTTGAATCACTATGCACTGATCTTTGATTATCTGTGATTAATACCTCTAATGCGTCAAAAGCAGCATTAACATCATCCAGGTTCTTTGCATCACATTCGCATCCGCAAGCAGGTATGTAGTTTTCCTGGAACCAAGCATCCTCTACAATCTCCGCGATCGTTATTCGCTGCATTGTGATATAGGACTGTGATTAAATTATTGACAAGAAAAGAGACATTCTGAAACATTTGGAACACTCTTACCCTTATAGGATTTGGATCGAGTATTCTATAGAGGAACTTCTTTTGACTGGCTGTGAACCATGGTGGACATGTGTATTCTGCTCTTGCGATCTTTAGAGGTATGATGATCAGTCAAGGGAATTGTTTCTAAGGGAAACTGTGTCAGCATCTGGTTAAAGAAGCATACCTTCCTGTACAAATTCATGAGGCTACGGTCATCAAACGGCAAATACCCTGCCAGTAATTCGAAGAGGATCACCCCACAAGACCAAATGTCTGCAGCTGATCCGTCATACCCTTTATCCGCAAATAGCTGTTTAGAAGTCCAAAGCATCATTGATAATAGGATTGGGAGAAAATTCATTTATTAGCTATGATCGTGCAATGTTGAGTACACTCTGTTCCAATTCCTGTTCGTGTTATGGAGAATGATGAAATGTCGATGCAAGGAATTAAATATCGGGTCCTCACCTCGGGTGCAACGTAGCATGGAGAGCCACATGCTGTCGATAGCATGTCTCCGGGCTGTTGAATTTAGCCAAGCATACTTGAAATGGTTCGACATCATATTTACATGGGCTAATCAAATTGAGTAGAAGATTGTCTTAACCTTTCGCAAAGCACTAAGTCCGAAATCCGACACCTTCAGATTCCCCTTGCTATCCAACAGCAAGTTTTCCGGCTGTGCACAGAGGATGATATCCCCATCAATTTGCATGACTTTCTTCCCTTCAAAATGGATAAATTGAGCGAAAGAGAGTCATCTACTACTCACCTTTAGATCCCTGTGATATACCCCTCTGTGATGGCAATAGTCCACGGCATCGATCAACTGTTGGAACAGCTTTCTTGCCTCGCCTTCACTGAATTTCCTCACATAAGACTGAGAAAAGCAGAAAAGTTATTTAAGCATAGCAGAAAAACCTGTAATTGCACTTTCATTAGGAGTTTTGATTGTATTGTCTCACCAGTTTGTCTGATAATTGTCCTCCAGATACATATTCCATTACTATGTATATTTTTGTCTTGGTTCCGATAACCTGTTCATGAGAGCCATCATGTAAGAAACTAATGATCTGCAAATTATTTGCCATGGAAAGAAGTGGCGACCCAGAATTCTGCGGAGCAGCCGCTACTAGATGAACCTACCTCTTGTATCCTTACAATGTTCGGGTGATGTAGAAGCTTCATCGTTCTAATCTCTCTCTGTACCTGAAAGTGTAGTTTTAACGGTATCAGGACTTGCAGGGAGGATCAAACGAAGGAAAAGGAGCTTCAAATGGAAAAAACAGGAACGGAGAGACTCGCCTGGTACTTGAGATTGCTCTCCATCACCATCTGCTTATCGATGACCTTGACGGCCACGTTATGGCCGCCCGCGTTGTCGACGGCCAGTTTGACCTTGGCGAAGGTGCCTTCTCCGATCGTCTGCCGGAGCTGGTACTTCCCTATGTTGCTGACGGGGGCCATTTCGTCCCGCAGCAAACTGTATGATCTCTCCCCTTTCTTCTTCGGTCTCCCAACTTCTCGTGGCCGCACTGGTCGTCTTTGGCCGTCGTTATCCTCCTCCTCCTCCTTCCTGCCGAGACGTGCAACCAAAAAAACAAAAAAAAAATGCGGAATTCGGGTATTCCCCTACGCTCCCTGCAAGTGTTCCTTATAAGCCGGGCGTCCCCGAATCTTTGCTGAAATGGGAAGTGATCGGATTTATCTTGCCCATCGTCTTCCTGGCGACTGCCATGCGTTCATGGCTCTCATGTTCTGTGGGAAAATCCAGCGGTGAATAGTCACATTTTTTTTTTCTTTTTAGACAAAGTCAGATTTCTGTGCATCTTTTATTATTGTCGGAGGCTCGTAAGTCCACCACTTGTTCCATCCTCTCTGCACGGACGGCGCATGACCGGTTGGTCAGCTGATAAGAGCAAAGAGCTCCCCTTTGAATGGATGGTAAAACCTCTTTCCATGCTCCCCATCTGTCACAGCTTCCCGTGTTCGGATCCAAGAAGATCAAGAATTGTTCAAAAACCGCCCCCCACCTCGATTAGAGACTGCGCACCGCCTTCGCGCCGAAGCGACGTGTCGTGACCGTCGCGTCTCGGCCCGTCGGCAACTTTCGGTTAACACGGTCGGTCCGTTTTTTGGACGGGTAATCGGATAGGGCGGTCAAATTTGATCGTGTTGTGGATAAATACGTGCTTTAGATTTATTTACAGAGCTTGATGAGGGTGTTATGAAATGGGAAGCAAGTTTTGCATCTTCTTGCTTGGTTGGTGCCGTAATTTCTTGGTGGAAACGTGAGATCTGAGGATCAAGAAAAAGTCTTTCTCCCACAAGGGGCTCCAAAATTCAAATTCACGCCCGCTGTTGCAGCCTCTCTTTGGCTGCCGCATAGAAATTGTTTTTTCTTGGTCAAAATGCCAATCAAATTCACTTTTACTCTTGAGATGATCATCTTGACCAATATTTAAGCTTCATTCGTTTTGCTACAAATAAATAATTCAAAAAAATGTTTTCCTAAAAATCGATCGCCTGTATCGCTTGTAAAAATAAATGGACGGAAAATATTTTCGTCGTCTACGAAAATCTTTAAAATATAAGCCAATGCCGATTTGTACTGACTAATTAGTTTAAACGATACAAGTGATTATTGTTAAGAAATTCTTTTTCAAATCGTTCATTTTAATCTCGTTTTATTTTTCACTTTTGTCAATTGGCTAACACTGTATTTTCTTCATGCAACCTACCACGGTGAGTACCCTTTTGAGCAAATCTACCCATTAGAGCTCTTCTTTCACTTAATTGGAGTAGGTGGGAACAAAAATTAGGTTGAAAATAGAAATTGCATTAAAAAAGGAGAGAGAGAGAGAGAGAAGAAATTGGAGAGGGTGTTTTGAGGACACGAGATTTCCAATCGGCCTCTTTCTTGTTGCTGGATTATTGGAAAATTCGAAAACGTCAAAAGCTTAGCGATTAAGGGAAATCCACCATCCTTACACCTGGATCATAAATGCGTCCAGCAGATTTGCACCATCATTTGTCTTTTGTCTTCTAATGTCAACGCAAAGGTAGTGCCAGCTTGTGCTCTTCACATACTGAAATGAGGAAATAATGCTAAGCATTTTACGATCTGTAAAGATGAATGCCTTTGAATTTTATAAAAAGTCCTAAGCTTCTGGCGGCGAGCATGGCAAACAACCCGTCGAAATATTTAATCGCCATTATGGACGGAGGTCTGACGGAATGTATCTTGTTAATCATCAGTACAAATTTAGGGTATTGGTAAGAAGAAAAAAAATGGGTAAGAACGTTCCACAGAGAAAAATTTAGGATTTTTTGTGGCATTATCCCTTCGATGATGTACTTGCTACGCACTATTAAACGAGCTATTATCTGTACATCCATCTTCGACTTTGATCACTATAGGAATTTATTTATGAGCAACTTAACTAAGTTGAAAATACAAAAGCGTATGCCGCTAATCTTTTTTTTTTTTTCCGGGATGATGAATTTCAATTAAATTCAAATTTACATGCTCCGATTACGCGCCTCTAATGTGTCCCACTGATATTTTTTAATTAGTGACATTATCTGTACTTTGCGTGGAAAAACAGGGTGACATATTTGTCATACTATATAACAAGTTGCGCTTATTATAATACTCCTTAGAGAGGTGATCCTCGATTGCTTAAGAGTAAAGTGTGGACCGAGCATTAGGTGATATAAGGGCTTGGACCAGAACGTTGGATGCACTTATCATTCGCAAATTTTCACCATAAAACATTTTATTTTGGCTCTGTCGGATTATGCGGTGGCCTAACTTTCTGTAACTACAAACTTGTCAAACGCTAAATCATCATAATGGAGATTATAATAATGACCATGATCGATGTTTTCAGCCTCAAAAGGAAGCTGTGAAGATCATTGGCAGTTCGTCCATGGGCCAAGGAGTGGTAGCTAGGACGAAAGTCTACTTACCCAAAAGTGGAAAATAAGGTGAAACCCGACCCCGGGGTCTTGGAATGGAACATTTGTTGGAAGAGCGTGCAATAGGGTTTGTAACCAAACACCTCTAGAATTGAGCCGAGTAGGTGCAATGTTTAGTGAACAACTAGTGTCAATAGTGCCTTCTTGGGAAAAGTGCCAAAAAAGTCATAAACCTTTTACATTGGTACCAATTTAGTCCTAAATTTTTTTTGGTGCAAATTCAGTCTTAAACAATTTACATTGGTGCCAATTCAATCATAAACATTTTGTCTCTATGCTAATCTAATCCTTTCGGCTAATTTTGGCCAGATTTTGATGACGTGAACGCCGGCCGGCTGGTAGCCGGTCACCGGCGTTGACGTGAACAACTTTAATAATATTTTTTGAATTATTTATTAATTTATTTCTTTTCTTTTTTTTTTCACTCCCCTCCCTCCTTCCTTCAGCCAATCACGGGACCGACCAGAGGCCAGAGGCCGACGAGGGCGTGCCTCGCAATGGCTGGGCGAGGCCCGACCTCACCAGATCTGGCGAGGTCGGGCCTCGCCCAGCTGCTGGCGAGGCTTGAGCCCTCACAAGAGGCCTTCGACCTCACGACCTTCGGCGAGGTCGAGCCTTGCCAACGACTAAGCAAAGCACAACCTCGCCAGATCTGGCGAGGTCCAGCCTCGCCCAGCCCAGCCATGGCGAGGCTCGCCTTCACCGTCGCCGGCGAAGGCAATCCTCGCCGACCTCTGGCCTCTGGCCAATCGCCGGTCCGGCGACCGGCTGGAGGACAGAGGTAGGGGAGGGAAAAAAAAAAGAAAAGAAAAAATAAATAAATAATTCAAAAAAATATTAAAAATTGTCAATGTCAGTGCTGGTGACCGGCTGCCAGCCTGCCGGTGTCCACGTCAGCAAAATTCGGCCAAAATTAGCCGGAAGAACTGAATTGGCACAAAGACTAAAGGTTTAGGACTGAATTGGCACCAGTGCAAAATATTTAGGACTGAATTAACACAAATGCAAAATGTTTAGGACTGAATTGTCACAAATACCAAAGAATTAGGACTTTTTTGACACTTTTCCCGTGTCTTCTTCATCCTAGAAACGATTCACTCGAAATGCATTTGGTCAGTCAGCGCCATAGAAAGAATCGCTTCGGGTGTTCGTTTATGATGTCATTCCAACTCGAGGCACATTTGGAGCAGAATATTGCTTTGGTCCATGGAGAGCAAGGTACGATGAAAGTCGAGTAACGAAGCGACGAGATTCTTAATGTTCATAGGCAGTTAGATACTAATTATAGAAATTCACTCTTTTTGTTCCGAGGGCGTAGCATGATGCTTTGCGTTGCAACTGTGTTTCTCCAAAAGGAACCGAGAATGGGGGGGAGTCTTTCTCAAGCGCTCGACCCTTATTCTAGGAAGTTGAAGAATGTTGAATTAGGACATTTTCTTTTTCGATAATCCAGATATATAATCGTGGAGATTGGGTTAACCAGTTAAGTTCAAACTTTTAGCCAGTGGAAATGGCTCTGATTTAGCGCAACTTGCATGCAGTTATTATTTATTAAAAACTACAACCTAAAATCAAAGTGTTTTAGATCCCTTTACTAGATATATAGGCTGCGTTTTGGGAGATTTCCCCAAAAATCTTTGGCTTAGAGTGTATTTGCTCAGCAAATACTATTTGGTTAGTGACTTTTGGTGTAATTTTTTGCAAAGTGACTTTGAAATTAAAAAAAAAAAAACAGAAAACAAAGGTGATTCTGTTCATTGTCTACATCGTGGAAGCAATGGGCTGCCATGAGCCCTTGAGGTCTCGAAGGTCGCTTACCTCAGGCGACATAGATCTAGAGACAAAAGGCTCGGATAACCCGTGACCTAGCAGCCTTGACCTTAGCATCACTCTACACGGCGACCATCAACCTCGACGGCCCTTAACTTGCCAGATCTCGCCTGAGCCGTGACCCTCCAAATCTCACTTAACAAACCCACGACCGTCAATGAGGCTTGGTGACCCTCCCACCCTTAGCGACCGTCGACAACAGTTCTATAAAGCTTCACCGACAACCCAAATTTGCAAAGTCGGAGAAGATAAATAGTTTTTTAAGAGGGCAAGAGTGGAATATGAAAATACTAGCAACGGAAATCTTGGAAGAAAAAGTTCATTAACCCTAGGACCCGCTTTCCGATAATGCTGAAAGCCTAATGCAAGTGGTCACTTAAGACAAGTGGGGACCTGCCTTGGGCTTTTAACTTTGCCAATACTAGCATTCACTCCATGCTCTCCAAAAAAATTTACCATACCGTCCAGCTTTCACTTGAGGGACTTTAGAGACCCAAATTTTCTTGGGAAAGTTGAACGTGTTTCATTTTGTTGCATTAACTAGAGTATTCATTATTTTATTTATTGGTTCACTTTGTGGGGGTAATGATCCGCTATTAGATTTGTCTACCATTGAGAAGAGGGATCTTCCATTATCTGCTAATAGTATATTATTCCTAAATCAAGTGTCTGGTAAGTGAAGGACAAGGTTTGATAACGGTTATTATCACTCGTGAGGTAGCTCCACCTACATCATCAGGTCTTAGCACCACGTTTTCCATTTTAAGAATTTAATTAGTAAAATAAGCCAAGTCAAATTGATTAGATCCTTCGCATATGAAGAAGCATGAGCCTTAATTCCGGTTCGACCTCAGTATTCTCTCTCTTGAAGCCAATTCACGATATAGTAATTTCTCGCGAATCTTCTGACGCGAGCATTACACAATGATCTCGTAGAATCTTTGGACCTTTGCCAATTGATTTAAAAGCTTATTGTAATTAGTCGAGGTTGGGGTTTAATCTCAAATGCC